TCAGAGTTAAAATATATCTAGTGAAGTCAGAGTTAAAATATATCTAGTGAAGTCAGAGTTAAAATATATCTAGTGAAGTCAGAGTTAAAATATATCTAGTGAAGTCAGAGTTAAAATATATCTAGTGAAGTCAGAGTTAAAATATATCTAGTGAAGTCAGAGTTAAAATATATCTAGTGAAGTCAGAGTTAAAATATATCTAAAGTCAGTTAAAATATATCTAGTGAAGTCAGAGTTAAAATATATCTAGTCAAGTCAGAGTTAAAATATATCTAGTGAAGTCAGAGTTAAAATATATCTAGTGAAGTCAGAGTTAAAATATATCTAAAGTCAGTTAAAATATATCTAGTGAAGTCAGAGTTAAAATATATCTAGTGAAGTCAGTTAAAATATATCTAGTGAAGTCAGAGTTAAAATATATCTAGTGAAGTCAGAGTTAAAATATATCTAGTGAAGTCAGAGTTAAAATATATCTAGTGAAGTCAGAGTTAAAATATATCTAGTGAAGTCAGAGTTAAAATATATCTAGTCAAGTCAGAGTTAAAATATATCTAGTCAAGTCAGAGTTAAAATATATCTAGTGAAGTCAGAGTTAAAATATATCTAGTGAAGTCAGAGTTAAAATATATCTAGTGAAGTCAGAGTTAAAATATATCTAGTCAAGTCAGAGTTAAAATATATCTAGTGAAGTCAGAGTTACAATATATCTAGTCAAGTCAGAGTTAAAATATATCTAGTGAAGTCAGAGTTACAATATATCTAGTCAAGTCAGAGTTACAATATATCTAGTCAAGTCAGAGTTACAATATATCTAGTCAAGTCAGAGTTACAATATATCTAGTCAAGTCAGAGTTACAATATATCTAGTCAAGTCAGAGTTTAAATATATCTAGTCAAGTCAGAATTAAAACTATTTCTACTTTACTACGAGTTAATTTATATAACGAGCAACAAAAAAACACAAGCAATATATATGTTACTCTACAGCAATTGGTAAAATATGGGTTACGTTACTGTAAAAATTATAAACATCGTAGCCTTATGACCTGACCACATAATTACTACACGACACATTAGCTTCAGGCATCACCAAAACTTTCCCATCAATGACCTATATATTACTTCTACCCAACACTAAGCTGCCTGTTGTCTGCTTAGAAAAAGATATGATCACCTGATGAATCTACACCCTAGCTTATTTCACCTACAGATTAATCACCCCAACCTAACCGAACCTATCCCATCCTAACCTAAACCATCCTAACCTAACTGAACCTATCCCATCCTAACCGAACCTAAACCATCCTAACCTAACCTAAACCATCCTAACCTAACAACCTATCCCAACCTAACTGAACCTATCCCATCCGAACCTATCCTAACCTAACCTAAACCATCCTAACCTAACTGAACCTATCCCAACCTAACTGAACCTAACCTATCCCATCCTAACCTAACCTAACCATTGATCCAAGAAAACACCTGTCATCACTAAAGAAAACACCATACATTAGTTCTAAACGACACTACTTAACCATCATAAACTTTACGGCAATTTTTAACGTTCAGGATTCTAGATTTCACATCACTTGGGTTCAACCACAGATTAGAACACAACCCGTACCACCAGAAACGAGGAATGTACACGTTCCCATCACTATAAGAATTAGCTTATATTAGTTCTATATAAACACTTGGCTTTTTGATTAAGATGAAATTCTTTTAAAGTTTCTACATTTCAAGTCAATTTGTTTAACCACAGACAACTAGGAAGTAAACGCACATCAGCCATCGATAAACAATGTACATTATTTCTCGATGATATCACCGGTAATCTAAATAAATTTAAAAAAAAGCCACATCAGGTTTCTAGCTGTCACAAAGAGCTTCCAACACAGACAAGCACAACAGATAGCTAGAAGAGAACTAGTAGAGACACAATAACAAGATGCGGGGTGTCCACTTGGCCTCCCGGAGATTGGCCTTGGTGGTGGTATACAGTACTTGGGGTTCAGGGACAGAAATACCAAAGGCTAGGTAGGTAATCACAGCTCAAAGCCAACATTCCAGAAGTTTTTGTAATACCACAAGTGTACAGTTTTTGACTTGTGCCGAGTACTATAGAGGTAATACTTGAGAAAAAAGTACTGTATTGTGTGAGAGAGAGAGAATAAAGAGAATAAGAGAGAAAACAGAAGAAACGGGAGAGAAGACAAGAGGAGAGAGAGAAATAAGAAAAAAAAATTGAAATACAAAAACTATGAAAACTACAGTATAGAAAGATAACTTTACTCAACATGTATTTCCCAATTTCGAGATTTCATTAGCCACAAAATATACAAAATTATCAACAATGTAATAAGTTCTTGTTGGTTAAGTCATTATAGATGTATATTTTTGTACAGGTATAATTTTTTTCTAGCGATTCTTAAGTACAAAATTATAAATTATTCTTTTAATTTCCCTTATTTCTTTCATTATAAGCTTAATAAATAATAAATACTTATACTTATACATGAGACGAGGTGTTCTAAAAATACTGTGGTACTTTAATTCCATGACTGGGCAAAATAAGAGACTTGAGAGTGAACTTTCATTACTTAACAAGATAAATTTAATCAGAATATATCACCATTACTCATATATATCACCAATTATACATTTTCTTTTAGTTGTAGTTATGAATATTTATTTTATGGTATATTAGAGGTTGTAGGTGATAAAAATATGTTTAAAGTGACGATAATAATTGAAAGATTGAAGTATGGAATGAATAAATAGTGAAGTATTTACGTTTTTTCAATTTAATTCTTCTCCATCGGGGTTGAAATGATAGCTAATATATATAATAGTACTTTAATTATCGTATTTTAAGAGTAATAACGTTAAATATGTCCTAGACGAGGCAGGAAGTCGGGAAAGACCTCTACTACCCTCCACCATGACGGCTCACACCCACCCAATGACACACACATTCTCTAATTAACCCACCTAAATCAATACCTCACATAATTAAATATACCTAATTACACCCCAAACATTACCCTACAATAATAATATAGTTAATTAAAACCAAAATAAGGGAACGGGGGGGGGGGGGAGAAATTAGTGATGATTATAACGTTACCTAGAGCAATGTATTCCCGTTTGACCTGAGTCTTGCTTTCAAGTTTTGTTAAGAAGTCAGTGAGTTTATTCTTCTGGTAGAGGATCTTAACAGCTTGTTCCTTGTAATACTCGAGATTGGCAGCCATCTTGAAGGGCAGGAGGAGGAAGGAAGTCAGACACACACACACCTCACCACAATACCAACTCGCTTCAGAAAGACCACCACTTCCTTCACCTGATATAACCCACAGGAGACAGAAAACGGTGATTCTTCCCACTATAACCCCCGCCATATTTAACTTCCCTCCTCCTCCCCGGCAACACCAATATCTTAACACCTTTAAACACCTCTAAATAACCTTATTCCTCCCATTAACTATTGCATAGATGGATAGTTTAGTAAAGAACTTATTAACACAAACGACATAGCCATATTTAATTTATTTCCCAGACCAGGAGGCTTATTTAACCTCTATAATGTAACCAATAACATGTTAATATTATAGTAACTACTTCATTATCTTCCCATCACCAAAATATTAACACAAAATTAATAAACATTATATAACAAGCAGACACAGCATCTAATTGCCTGATGAGTAATTAGTACGCCACCACTGCTTGAAGGTCATCTGTGATTACTGTACCCTGTTGACCTATTTTAGTGACTTATGACCTTCTGAGTACGTTTTTTGTTAATTGTGCCTGGAAATTAAGCACACATGCCGAGTACAATCTACCCTGAGTACACCTGCCTTAATTACCCGAGTACACCTGCCTTAAATACCCACTACAACTACCTAGAGTACATCTACCCTGAGCACATCTACCTTAATTACCCGAGTACACCTGCCCTGAGTACACCTGCCCCGAGTACACCTGCCCTGAGTACACCTGCCCCGAGTACACCTGCCCTGAGTACACCTGCCCCGAGTACACCTGCCCTGAGTACAATAATAAACCAAGATGGAGGAAGGTCAACCTCACCTGTCAGTCGGGCCATGGCGTAGCGGTCATCATTAGCGACACCCTCAAATGACCTCCTCATCGTGGTGACCTTTGACCTAATATTGATGACCTGTGACTTTATTCTAATGACATTTGAACTCCATCTCTCCCTCAAGGTAAGGTTAACCGGGCCATCAGCAGCACTGGAGAGCCATTCCTTCATAACCTCCTCTTCCTGCAGACTATTTTGGGTGTTTTCCGGTATTTTCTCCTGTGTTATAACTTCGTCCTCCATTATAGATCTAAATTAATTACTATAATCACCCAGAATTAATTATAAGACCAGATAATTGGGTTTGTTAGGAGTGAAGTTGTCACCTTGACGTGTGCTGCCCTAATGAGGTATTCTTCAGCGAGTCAAAGTATAATATTTCCTCCTAATAATGGTTAATTTCTACTAAAATTAAATAATAAAACAGATTATTAATTAAATACATTTCATTTAGGTTAATTATTGAATATACGGAGTTAATATTAATAAACACAAGAAGTAGAAGGCAAAATAATTCCCATACATATTTCTACCTAAATTAATTAATTATATCTAAAGTTTATCAATAAATATAAAAAGTAATTTCTTATATTATATTATATTAAACTAAATAATGTACACAATTAAAACTGTAATAGACAGAATGTATAAATATTTTGTCTCTATTAAAACAACAATCGAATACTACCATCAAATTTATTCTTATACTTAAAATATTAATTAGTTGTTATTATTTGTTATTAATTAAAAATAATAATAATAATAAAACATATCCAAGGTGAAGTAAAAGAGCTAAAATAATAATAATAATAATAAATTAGGTAACGTTCGCGGTAGTTCCTTAACATTAAAGTATTTGGGCCCGTAGTCATGTTCGCGGTAGTTACTGTAACATCGTCATCTGTCACATTGATGTAAACAACGTTGCATAGTGAGTTGCAAGACATAATTAACCTGTTTACTGTTGCTGTTTACAAGAAGAGACGGTGGTAACAAGGTGATCATGCCGGTAAGTAACGACCATTAAGATGTATTGAGTCAGATACAGTTACGCGTTATTAATAAATAGAGAAATAAACAGATATACAGTATAAGGGAGTTGAGTGGAAGAACGGTATAAGTACACGTTATTAAGAGATTAACTTGTATTACGATTTCTTTGAATATCTATCTATCTATCCATCTATCTATCTATCCATCTATCCACATAAAGTCCAAAGCCGCCACGACAGACAGTGTTGACCTATCCTATCCTATCCTAACCTAACCTAAACTGACTTAATCTAATACTAGTCTATCCTTTCCTATCCTATCCTAACCTAAACTGACTTAATCTAATACTATCCTAATCTATCCTAACCTAACCTAAACTGACTTAATCTAATACTATCCTATCCTATCCTATCCTATCCTAACCTAAACTGACTTAATCTAATACTATCCTAATCTAACCCAAACTGACTTAATCTAATACTATCCTAATCTATCCTAACCTAAACTAAACTGACTTAATCTAATACTAACCTAACCTAACCTAACCTTACACTAACCTTACTTAACCTAATACTAACCTTACCTATCCTAGCAGTTATCCTAGCCCTTGTATCGTTAGGGTAGTTAATCATCAGGTAAAATAAACTGGGGTCACTAATCTTCACATGACCCTTCCCACCCACCCCCCCCATTTCTCCACACGACTGAAATAACGATAAAATATTCTATAATTTTAGTGATTTTTAACCTAATTATTGTTTTATTATTTATTTTATTTATACTTTCAGGTGTATAAGGTAACTATTCGCGCTCAGTTCGAAAATGTGACGAATCTGGAGGCTCCGGGAGAAGACTTCAGGTATTGCATCAAGGTAACGTCGAGTTTTTCCCCCGAGTGATATAAGTAATCTTTTATTTATGAACTGTCAGAGCTGCGACCAAACCTTTCCCCGTGTCCAGTTGACTGCTTGAGTTTCATTATACCTTATTATCTGTTAAAGTCCGGTAAGGTATACAGTAATGTGTTATATATTTAGTATCGAGGTTTACCTGTACTGGGAGAGGATAGTCCATTATATCGAGGGTCCGTTAAGTGTGAAACCCCCATGTAAGGAATTATATGGAGAGGGTTGTCCATTATATCGAGGGTCCGTTAAGTGTGAAACCCCCATGTAAGGAATTATATAGAGAGGGTAGTCCATTATATCGAGGGTCCGTTAGATGTGAAACCCCCCATGTAAGGAACTATATAGAGAGGGTTGTCCATTATATCGAGGGTCCGTTAGATGTGAAACCCCCCATGTAAGGAACTATATAGAGAGGGTAGTCCATTATATCGAGGGTCCGTTAAGTCTGAAACTCACATCCAACAGATTAATACGGAGAAAGATGTACATTATATGGAGGTTTCACTTCACTGTACAACTTTCATTTATTATATTTGTTACAATATGTCTGGCAGCCCCAAGAGTAAAGCTGGACTCACGAATATGTCCCCTGACCTTAACCCTACACACCAGAACTAATTGTTATTGTTAGTTTTATGGTCAATGTTGAGGTGACTGTGTTGAGGTGACTGTGTTGTGTTGGTGTAAAAACTGCGGCCAAGTTTTGATCACCTCAAGATTAGTCGCGAGTTTATTTCACCTTAGAGGTTAACAACGTATAACTAACGTAATCTAACCTTACAAGATAGTGTTAGGGGGTCTTAATCTTCAGGTGAAATAAGCAGGGGGTTTAATCTTTAGTAAAATAAGCAGGGGGTTTAATCTTTAGTAAAATAAGCAGGGGGTTTAATCTTTAGTAAAATAAGCAGGGGGTTTAATCTTTAGTAAAATAAGCAGGGGGTTTAATCTTCAGGTGAAATAAGCAGGGGGTTTAACCTTTAGTAAAATAAGCAGGGGGTTTAATCTTTAGTAAAATAAGCAGGGGGTTTAATTTTCAGGTAAAATAAGCAGGAGGTTTAATCTTTAGTAAAATAAGCAGGGGGTTTAACCTTTAGTAAAATAAGCAGGGGGTTTAATCTTCAGGTGATGTAATAATTCTCTTCTACACTACAGACTAAATGTAACTCATGCAATGAAGTGAGCGAGAAGTGGCAGTACGTCTCCGCCGATGAGCAGGTGGACACGCCTAAATCCCGGGGCACCTGCAACATGGCCGTCAAGTGCAAGCTCTGCAACCGTCACAGTACACTGGGTGAGGTGACCATGTTGCTGTAGGCTGCCAGAGAGACACTACACATGTTAGGTTAAGTGAGATGAGATGAGGTTAGTTTGTGTTAGATTAGTTTGAGTGTCCCTAGCAACAGTCTCTCGGCAAGTTACCCGATTGTCCAGTTTCTCCTTATAATTTACTGTCCTGTGATGTGTGGCATTGAAGAAATGTTTGTAGGTGTGGGAGAGTCAGGGCTCACAGGTGTGGGAGTCAGGGCTCGCAGGTGTGGGAGTCAGGGCTCGCAGGTGTGGGAGTCAGGGCTCGCAGGTGTGGGATTATATAATGGGGGTCGATATATTAGGGTGCTGTTGTTATTAAAAATGTTGGTTTCGTTTTGTTTAATATATTGTCTAGTTTGTCTTGAGTACAGGTATTATTTCATGACTGTACTGTACTGTATTAGTCATTCAGTACACCACAGATGATCATAAATACTGTACTTGTTCTATAGTTTCTTATAGTCATTTTGGGGAATTATTTTTTTATTGGAACATCTCAGCTTTTATACTGGCAGTCTATGGGAAGTTGTTCAGTTTATTAAAGGTTTATCAGGAACAAAACTATTTCATAAATCAGATAATGTTGTTATACTTCTGGCAGAACAAACTTATTGAAATGTAATTCTTTAACTAATTTAATTAATAAGGTAATGTACTGTTATATTGTATTGATGGTTTTCAGATGTGCTCAGAAGCAGGCAGCAGAGGTACACTGCAGAGGACATCCCCAACTTTAAGGAAATCATCGCATTTGAGTGTCGAGGAATTAGTGTTGTTAACTTCAAGTTTGGTGTAAGTCCTCAGTGTGTTGGGAACATTATACCTCATGAGAAATACTTTTAATTTAGTATAATAATGAATAGAAACTGCACTGAAAATTGGGATCACGTGAAGATTAGACATCCCAGCTTATTTCACCTGATGAGTAACCACCCTAATGCCTCCTGGGGGTTAGGTTAGGTTAATGGTCTGGTGACATTAGCTGGGGTGGCAAATATTCAGGCGATCCTAAACTTTTTACCAAATGGGAATTATATCAAACAGTTAAATAAGAAACGTGTATTTGTTTGTGTGTTCTGTCGGTGGTATGGCAATAATACGTTTGTTTGTCGTGTAGGACGGGTGGCAGTGTCAGGGGACGGATAGCAAGACCCCCTTCACCAACCTCAGCCTAGACGAAGAATGGTGCGAGTACGACGAGAATGCAAACTGCCCCGTGGGAATCTCCGAGCTGGAGTATAAAATTGACTAGTGGTGGTACAGTGAGAATGTAAACGGCCTCATCAGAATATAAAATACGTGGAGACAAAATTAAGGAGTTTTAGTGACGTCTGACCGAGCGATGAGGTTTGTGTGGTAATAATTTTTTTTAATTTTAGAATTATGTGAATTTCTCATTTTTGTTAATTAAAGAATAATTACTTGTGTGTTCATAATAATACTAAAGTGATGCGGCTTTGTTTCTTGAATCATTTGGGTGTTGAAATAATAAGACTTACAATCCATTTGATACTATGAATTATTAATAAAGATTTTAAAGAATGGTAAAAAAAAATACTTGTCTTATCCTTCTTAGTCAAGTTAGGATGAACATTTTTAGCTGGGAGTTAAATTTATACCGTGAGGGAGGAGGGATTGTGTTGAAAATTTACAAGCAAGAACAGATCATTTATTAATTTGGATTCCCATCTCTTGTAATTACCGACCTTTTTCTGTGTTTGACGGCCCGAGTTGTTGACGTGTAGAGATAATATTTTCCTGTGGGGTGCTGACCGTTTTTCTCAGGCAGGTGTGTTGTTCGATAAGTGATCTTACTGTACCTGATGACCAGCACTCATTACCACCACACACCCCCCCCCCATCACATTTGTTTCATCTTAACTATATAATCCAGTACTGTATATAATGTTGGTCAGCATTAACCACAGTATAGTCAGTTGTTCCACCACCTTATATAAAGTTGGATATAAAACAATAAGTTGACAATGTATGAGTTTATTTTATAGTCCATGTTATTATATAATAATTAGCATCATTGGTCGACACACAAGAGTAATTTACCAACAAGGAAGAGACGACTTACCTGTGTTTTGTTTTGGACATCAATAATACACACACATTGTTCAGTCTTTTTTAACTACCTATATAAAATGTGGATATAATAGACTTCATTCGGTATATAGCGGTGAACATATCACATGAGATGACTCCAGCTCCCGTCTCTTTGGTAGTACGGAGAGACGGAAGCTTTCGTTCCGTACAAAATACACCGAGCATTCTGAATTTGACGCCTCGACCGAATATAAAAAATACGTCGTCTAATGCATACTGCACGGGGCCCCGCTCTGACCGTCTGCCGGTGTCGATTCGTCGCTCCGTCCGGCGAATAAACTCGTGGAAAGGCGAATAAATTGACGGCGATAAATTACCGACGCGGAGCAACACAATAACTATGCCGTCTTCGTGGTGACCGCCAGCGGGAAAACTCCCCCAACACCGCCGTTAACGGTGTGAGGTATGAAGCGAACTACGAGAAGACCTTAAGACTGTCAAGTGAATTTTCTCAGCGATTCATCAACTGACACACGATGGAAGGTGTGGCCCCGCTACAGTTCTTTGCACCAATACTGTATTTCATAAATTCAAAATACTTGATAGTTTTTATCATCCTTTAACTAAAACTGCTCCTTAAAGCTATGAGGAGAGATATATGGAGAACTTTTATATAATATATATATACAGTAAAAACTAATTTTCAGTACCTGACTGAATGCTACATCAACCTAGAGCCAATTTTACATACAGGAAAAATTCTCCAATATCCAACAAATATTGTGTTAGACCGCTTGACCTCACGTTACTGCCCTCAAGGTTAACTTAAATAAGTATTACATCAATAACCTCTTTAAGTGGTGACAATCAAGCATCTCACACCATTATATAAACTAATAAATTTATCTTCTTAAACTTGTGATATATGGCCAGTTAGTGTTTTGTGCTGTTTATAGTAGTTTAAAAAATAACTGATGATGTTAGAGGTATAATTAGTCACAGGTAGAAACTGTCTATGAGCTACCTGGCACACATCCTCGGCCACCACAGTACCGAGACCCTTGGAGCAGAGCGAGGCTGTGTGTTACATCCCAGTGACTCACACCGATGATGTATTGTGCAGGTTATAATGTTGTGTTGCCTCGGGGTAATTAGGAAGATATAGGGTGAAGAGGGTTAGGTTAGGTTAGACAAATTTAAGGCGTGTTGTTGTAGCCTTAAACAAGAGAGTGGTTGACCGTGTAGGAAAAAGTTTAACAGCACCGCCTCCAGTTCTGATAAAGAGGACGACTGGATTTATTTTATCGATGGATTTGTGAATATTCTCCAGTCCTTAATTTACCAGGAAAGAAGTACGACTGACTGGCTACATTAGGTTAACTTTGAAGTTAGGTTAGGTTGTGATGAATATGACCGAGTGTGACGGTGTTTGGGACTCGCTAGGTTGACTGAAGCTCCATCATAACTCTCCTCACTTCCAATCTACTGTTGAAGGTTCCTCTTAACTGGCCATATGGTAGTTGATGACTTAGTTACCCACGGGCAGCATCACGACGTCAGCGATCTATATCCTGGGAAGAAGAAGCTCGCTGGAGGGGAACTCTACCAAGATCCGTCAAGTTTATTGAACTTTAACTGGCCGCATTTGACGTTTCTCTCGTGTATAATATCGACCGACACTTTCGGCTCAAAATTTACAGTTTGTCTTAATTCACTCAGGCCTTATGACCACATTGTGCCAAATAATCTGCAAATATTAGTACGGATCGTAACACTTGACGAATCTCCATTGAAAAGGACATACACGTAAAGCAGTTTAGGGCCTCCAGCCGGTTAACACGACTGTCTGATACAAACAACAAGAGCCGTCGGTAACTCAAATGGCTGGTTCAGTAGAGCAAATGTTCCTCCTCTACACTGCGCACACACGCACACACACACACACACACACACCAGTAAAATATTATACCTCACCTCTGACTTTACAATGCAGGTACTGTACAGGTAGACCCCGGTTTGCCAGGTTCAATTTACGGAAACTATCTCGGGAAAAGGAACACTCACGTAAACAGCGGTCTACCTGTAATGCAAAAACCCGAAGGCATGGGATTATAGATACGGTATATTCTTTCCTAATTCATTTTTTAAGAAGTAATGAAAAACTTATAATGTAAACCATAATATTGCTTATATGTGATAACTTCCACATATGTACTGTAACATAAACAGTCTCAACAGGCCGATACAGAACAACAACCTCAACGACCCTCCGAGGGATGACGAGGCCGCTGTAACATCGGGCGAGAGTGAGTATTAACGGTTCCCAGTTTCACGTACATCGTTATAAATTGTTCCGACACGCCGAGCCAGTTCACAACGCCCACACAACCTACGCCACTCGTAAGCAACGGACGAGTCGACATCCAGACATCACAACCCAAATAACCGGCGAAATAAACAAGCAAACATTAACCCGGTGCTCTCGTCCGCTGAATTCGGTAATGCCCGTTGAGAATGAGTCTACACGGAGTAAAGTTTGGCAGCGTTAAATATTTCCGGTGGAGCGCGATTATAACAATGATAATGACCGGTATTTGGAGGATAAAAAGATTGTCTTTATTCTATGATATGCATGAAGTAAAACACAATGGAAATCAACGAGAGATACTAACACACCTAAATTAACCTGGACACTGAAATTGGCGAAAGCAAAGCGATCGGAATTCATTTAAGCAAAAGCCTTGGGTGAAAAAAACTCTTCTTCGCACTTTTTTTTTTAATTGTATAGCGTTTGCATGTTGGGGGGGGGGGGAGGAGTCACCGTATCTTTCCTCTCGGTACACGCGTTCATTATTCCTGCATCAACGGCGTTTTAACAATTTATTACAGTTTTCCTCCGACGCTGAACGGGCCGTGATTTAACGCATCTCCTCACTCGTAAATTTAAATGGGAATTATGTTTTGAATAATATAAAACTGATCCTCCCACGAAAAATGAACCAAACGACAAATAAAACAGTCCAGGGATCAGAGTCACGAGAGGATCACACAATAAATGTTCGTCGTTCCACAAGATAAAGAACATCACCCTAACTGCTTAACCTGACCTAAATCACGAGAATAATTTCTAGTGTTGACGATAATCACACCAAGACTCAACCTCTGGGCATAACCAATACTGTGAGAAAAAAACAAACATCCTCTCCCATAATTTCACCTCCAAGTAGTAGACTCAAGTGATCTAGTTAAGGTGAAATCTGTTAATATTTGTTAATTCTAGATAACATTTTTCTGCTGCACATTAGATCTGAAGAGAGTAGGTTTGATTAGATTAGGTTGAATGAAGTCAAGTGAGGTGAGATGAAGTAATAAGGACAACATTACATCTTGAGTTATGACGAACATTGACCATCGTACCCCTGATCCATGTAAGGTAACTACACCATACTGTACCCTGAGGGAGGGGGTATAGAGAAACATTAACAGGTGTATATATCTCTGTCTATATATATATATATATATATATTTAATCCAAATTCTTAAAAATAAATAAACATTTATATTCAATACAACAAGAAAGGTACTACACTGAATTACACAAACTCTTGACACCCTAAATCAGTCTTAATTAACTGTGTTGCAGAATTCAGGTACCATACAGTGTACCCTAAAGAACCTTGTCCAGTGTCTTACAGGGAAAATAATACTGTCTCGTCTCCAGTAGTACTTCGTGTCTGTCTGTCATTTTAATTACCGACAGATAATATTTTCCATTTTTATGATTACTTAATCCTCTTCGTCACCGATGGGTCCGTTTAGTCTTTCGGTCACGTCTGTTCTTCTCGGCCTCCGGTGAGTGTAAACAAGACTTTAAATTACCTCACTATAGTTTCTCTCCTCGCAATATGTCTACCTGATGAAACCCATTAATTATACAGGTGACCCATCAGTTATACAGGTGAGTCATGCCCCCTAACGTGCTCCACCATCATTAACACAATTAACTATATATAGGAACTTTATTATTTGTTTTTATTGGCACAAAAAGAAAAAAAATAATTAAGGTCATCGCTCCAACATTCCCGCAGGAGTTTGAAAGCGATGGCATCTGTGGCGGTCGATGTGCGGGCGGTGACGTCAATGGGTACACTGTGAGGCGACTGATGATGCGACAAACTACCCAAATAAATCTGGAAATTATTATCTTGACTCTGGTGAAAGTTTTAGATGGAGTAAAAGTGATGTGTTATTAGAGTATATTCCCGGTAATAATGTCACCTCGTCGTGTTCCAAATTCTTCAACCAGTTTTGATAACAGTTAACATCAGTCAAGCTGAGAAATACATACAGAAAACCCACACAAGTGCACTCAACCATCGAGCCGAGAGTCAACCAGCGAGCCGAGAGTCAACCAGCGAGCCGAGAGTCAATCAGCGAGCCGAGAGTCAACCAGCGAGCCGAGAGTCAAGCAGCAACCCAAGAGTCAGCTACTGAATGTAATCATACAAACATTATACAGTTTTAAGGAGAAACAAATCTTCAATAAGCAGTTCCATTAATACATGTACTTGTGTTGGCCCGTCCTCTTAAAATTAACCTCCGAGTAAAAAAAAACTAAACATCAACCCCAAAAATGGAAATAAACCAAAGAGAACGTCATCATCATCGGCAAAAGGACGTAAACTGCTGTACGTACACTTCTGGTTCCTGTACTGAAGAGGCTCCACTCACTCCCCGATGAAAAATTAACTCTTCAGAAAGTTTGTTGTACCTCTAAAGTTTCTCGATGTTACTACGATACTTTTATAATGATCTGAATTACCAAGTGGCCCATGCTCCCCCTTGTCTAAATAATATCTCTGTCAAGGTCCCAGACACACACATGCATGCATCTCATAAATGACCGTATTACTCCGAGTACCTCTAACACCGGGCCAACGTTAACCCGACGACGCGACGATTCGAGCGTTAACCGACCCACCCGACCATATGGCGATCTCCCCTACATACGTACCCTTCATCTCCGGGGAAAACAAAACATAATTATTTCCACAAGTCTCAATTAATTCTTTCCACACACTTGTTCTGTGATCTTAATTAACTTGTGTATAATACTGTACTCTAAGTTAGTGAAGGTTATAGTTTTCACAGAGTTATTCTTACAACCTCGGGCATTCTTCCACCTCCTTGTTGTGAGCTCGTCCGTTGTCGTATTAACCGGACGTCGAGGATGCAGCGAGGGCACGAAACGCTCGACTCGGTACTGTACAAACTCTAAACATTCGTGTGTGAACTATTTTTTTTTTTTTAGTGGACTCGACGGCCGCCGTTCCTTCACTCACTCGCCACCACTATCATCAGTCTGAGCAAAGCTTATGTGTTTGGGTTTCATTTTTGTTATCTCTTGCGGAGGATTTTCTTTTTTTTTTTTCTTTTTTTTTCTCCCTAATTATTTCACGCTGGTCTTCCTCACTGTTCACTGTCACTCCTGTCGTCAATGATGGTCAACTTGATGATCTTGTTGCCGGCAAACTCCACGAAGTCGATTTTGTTGCTTTCTTCCAGATTGTCTACGCTGCGTTTCTTCAAGTCTGCAAGAAGGGCGTATGTGTATTACTCCTGTATGTTACCACAGTGTGTGTGTGTGTGTGTGTGTGTGTGTGTGGTGAGGTACAATATTTGAGAGAATAGTTGTGAGATTCTTGTTATTACCGAGAAAATATTAAATTACCTGAATATTAGCCACCAAGTTTATTTCACCTGAGGATTGAACACCCTAATACTAGCTGGGAGATTTGGGGGGGGGGAGTTAGGGTAGATTAAGTTAAGTTTAGAGTATTTAATCCTGAGGTAAAATAAGCTGGGGGGTAGTTGAGCTTAAGTTAGGGTAGCTGGTTAGGTTATTGTATGTTATGTAAGGTTATGTTAGCTTAGCATTTGGGTGGTTAATCTGAGTGTGAAATAAGCTTGGTTTATTAGTGGTTAATCTGAGTGTCAAATAAGCTTGGTTTATTAGTGGTTAATCTGAGTGTCAAATAAGCTTGGGTTATTAATTTTAAAACAAAAAACAACGAGAGGTTTGAAAATGAGGGAATGACAAAGCTTTTAACTCCATACTAGGAAAAGAACATCATCTTACCAGAGGTGTAGATGCGCTTGAGACGGAAGGTGGGATAAGTGGCACAGTCATGGGCGATGAACGTTCCCAGGGATGTGAAGTCAACGACGGGAGGACGAGTGACGCGCATAGTCTGACGAAGAACCTGAGTGTCGACGTTGTAGTAGCCTGTAAGGTTAAGACCAGATCAAGTTTAGTATTATAATCTATCCACAAAACTAATGATTATATTCCTCATTGAAATCTTGCCCGGTGTAAAACAATCACAGTCCGTTTATCATCAAGCCCGTGACGATCTGTACGTACCCAACCACATCTTCTTGACCAGGTCCATGATGGTGCGTGGAGGCAGAACGTGGGTGCGGTCGAGGGGCATCACGTAGCAGTGGCCGGAACTCAGGTCGATGATTCCGGTCATGTTCTGTAAACCAAACGCAGATTAAACAAAAACAATAAAAACAGATTATGTGACGGTTATTCTTCTTAAACTAGAATTTGTCATTTTTTCTACAATTTGTCACATTTTCTAAACAGTCAAGTATCTAGGGATCATGATTTAGTCTAGAAAAGTAACCCCCCCACCGTCTCCTCCCACTACCGCGCCATCAACTTACAGTCTTGAAGTCGTGGATAAAGCGACCCTGACGACCAAATCCAAAGTCAGGGACGTGGATCTCCTCGTACATGTCTTCATCGAGGTCCAACTCGAACTCCTCGTTGAACAGGCTCTCTGATGGCCCCTCTATATCATCATTCTGTGGGGTAGGGAGGGAGGGGATGGGGATAGATTGAATATAAGGTTTGTGGTATTGGTAGACTCGGCCATCAACCTCTGATCTGTTAATAGACAACTGGGACAGACAGACAGATCAACAAGACATACATATAGATCTCCCTGATAAAGTTCCACCAGTTATAAACAAAGGAACCAGGACACCACCGCCTTGTGGGACACTCAGGAAGTTACCAACAGTGGTGACATTTACACCAACTACTAATAAAGTAAACCCAGCCAACAGACCCAAGAGCAAGTAGTACCAGTCTTATTGTCGTCACCATCTTTGTGTAATTTCCATGTGATAATTGGGGTCCTGGTTTGGTGAGTGAGAATGTTCAGTTAAGTGAGGGCCTCTAAAGCCTGCCAAGTGTGTGTACTGAAGCAACACACTCGCCCGGCGCAGATAACAACCCCGGATTAAGGCGAAATATACGTCGGCCACACGGACGTGAACTCTTGGAAAACTCCGCTGCACATTGGGGTGATGTCAGCAAGTGCGAGCTCCCTCAAGGCCAGACCTGACCAACACAAGTTCTGGAACACATGTGGGTCGAGCTAGGAGAGGAGGATAGCATCAAAGACCACGAGTTAGATAAATTAACACTCTAATTAACGACTCTACCAGGGTGAACGAACAAGTAAAGACCGAGCGAGAATAAAAAACAGCTAGACATTCGGTACTGCTTACATGCATGAACTTGATGTTATGAGCCAGTTTGTACAGCAGAGGAGTTGGTTATAACCTTGAGCTGCTTCCTGTCATCATTTTCACTTATGCTCAGCGCCATCTTACCCTCCCCCAACACTATACTTCATCCGGCTGGTCCCCAGGACGTGACGTATATCAAAATCTGGCTAAATATAACCATAACATTTTTATTTGTCCTGACTGATATGAATACTGTGCTGTACTGGCTGGGATCAAATTGTTAACACACTCTCTCCTTCCCTCCTTTCACACACTCCTTCCTATCTCTCTCACATTTACTAAGAAATGTTATAATATTGAAGCACAGGCAGCCTTGAATCTGTCTGTATGTCTGACTCTTCCCCCCCCACACACACACACCACTAACTACAACACAGAAACAGAGCACCAGCCATGGGTCACCCTACACTCCACCCAGCTCCAGTCACCACCACAGTTACCACACTCTATAAACAACATACTAATTCCTTCTGCCCTATTCAAACAGCTTTTAACTCCACCTAAGAATGTAAACTTAAAAGCAAAGAAACAATTATAGTAAGTATGAAATAAGTTAGAGTTTTAATGAAGTATTTGGTGTTAAGGAGACAAACTAAAATATATGAAACTTGACATAACACTGTGGAAAGGTTGTGAGTGCAAGAGGGGTTTAATCTAAGTGGCGGTGCAGGACAGACCAGGCCAGTGGTTGGGCCATACTGTCAGGGCCACACAGCTGCTGTGGCCATCCTTCATCACATACACAGGGTCAATCAAATCCTGTTGTGGGTTGATCACTTCCTCTCCTCCTCCCCACACAACCACCTCCTCCCCCACACCTCCTCCCCCACCACACCTCACACCTCCTCCCCACACAACCACACCTCCCCCACACAACCACACCTCCTCCCCCCCCCACCTCCTCCCCCACACAACCACCTCCTCCCCCACACAACCCCACCTCCTCCCCCCCCACCTCCTCCCCCACACCCCCACACCCCTCCCCACCTCCTCCCCACCCCTCCCCTCCTCACTGGTATGTTTCCATGGTCACCAGAGGATCAGATGAAGATTAATCACCCCCAACCTTACATTAACGTCAATATAACAAACAAGGAGGAACTTACCCTATAAATGGATGGATTTCCCTCAAGGGGCAGCTTAGGGTTACCCATAGAGCTGAGGGACTCCCGCTCGAAGGGAATACCGCACCACCCACGGAAGCGAGACGTCTGGTGAATAGAGGTCAAAGGTTAAAGGTCATACACACACACACACACACACACACACACACACTGCAGTATTCCTATTCATTACATCAACTTAAATTCTATTCTATCCTTCAGGACCAACATTTAATAGTCGCTGATTTTATGGCGCTGAAAAACTCAACACAGAAGCACATAAGGGCCACTGAGTTATAGGGCTTCTGAGCCACTTAGTTGTGCACGTACACAGTTTCTACATGATTTCACTCTCATGATAACTTAACTTAACCTACCCTTACCCAATTTAACCACACCTAAACTAACCCAATTTAATCTAACCTAGTCTAACCCAATTTAACTTTACCTAATCCAACCTAGCCTAACCTAGTCTAACCCAATTTAACCTAACCTAACCCAACCTTCCTGACATACGAACATTCATTATATAGATTTTATTCCCCACAACTTCTACAGCACAATACACGGAACACAACCAGTCGGTATCGATAACTGGCGAGTCAAACTGTCAACACAAGCCAGTATTGTAATCGAACAAGGGAGTGGTGACTAGGTGAGGGTGTTGTTATCTGATACTGTACTGGTAACCCTTTCCTACCACGCAACACACACACCTGCAACACACACACACCAACTATGTGATGCTCTGTGTTTACAATGGAAATAATGATATAGTACAGAATGGCAGGTGAAAATATGGTGGGATGTGAGGCAGACAAGCACATTATGGGGGAGGGGGGGGCGGGGTTACTAAGAAAAAGGTTTATTGTACAGGAAAGAAATGATGGAAGAATGCAGTAGCAAGGAAGGTGATGAATAAAGAAAAAACACTGATAAAGGGAGTGAGATTAATGTAGTGTGGTGGTGATATGACATAGGTCTTATACACCTGAGTCACTATCTAATCAATGCTACACAAGTATATTCTCTTCTCATTGTGTTTAAACTACCATTAGCTAACCTTACAAAGTGTATGTGTGTTGTCTATATACATGCTGGTGTGTACGTATACTTCTGTTGTGTTCTGTATACATGTATCATCTACATACATGCCGAAATGTATACATAGAATTCAGCATGCATACAGAGTTACAGAGAATGGAGATTGATGTGTAATATGAATACAAAAACATTACAAGATACTGTACTGGTTTTATGATTAATATTTTATTGTATACTGTGCCAAGAGGTGTGTCATCTCCTGAAACAGAACAGATCGATTTAATCAGTTTTATAAATGGTTTCCCGATAATAGCCAATTGACAGACTTCTCTCTCACAGCCACGACGCACACACTCATGCTATAGGTTCACACACTGATGCTATAGGCTCATAGGCTCCTCACTTACACCTCATTAATGTATAGCTTGTGCCATAGGTTAAGTGCTATAGGGAAATTATAATGTCCATTTTTTTCTTTTTCAGGTTAAAAGAATCACAACTAATCAGTGAAGACAAGAGAGAAATAAATGATATGTCGTGCTATTTGTCCCTACGTATTGTGAACGACGCCAAGTTATTGAGAGAAATTAAGAACCAAACAGACTGTCAAGAGCTACTGAAAGAACTCTGGTCACTGGAATGGCTGTTAAAAGATTCAACGTCACGAAACGCAAGAGGCCGCGCTAAACCACACCAACGGTAAGTAGATTTATCACACATCTCGACGGCACGAAGGAACAGCATTAACGGAGACGTGACCAAGCTCCTGACAGACCAATCAGCGGTGAAGTGGATATTGACAACAAAGATTCAGTTTAATATTCAAGTACAGAAAACAAGATGGCTCAATACCACTAATGTCTAGGTGTTGTTAATTCAATTTTCTCCTTGTGATTCCCTCAATTTAAGAAGATAAAAAAAATGACAGTACTGTAATAATCTTGCTATAGTGCACGACTTATGAGACACCCCGTACAGTATGACACACGACTTATGAGACACCCTGTAACACGACTTATGAGACACCCTGTACAGTATGACGCCCGGTGTAGACGTACTTGGTGGTGAGAGAAGGCGCGGTAGAGGTACACACCGCCGATGATGCCAATACTCATCACCAAGAGAGCGGTGATGAAAACACAGATGGTGGTGGCTGTTGACACTCGACGACGGGTGCTGGGTGACAGCCACGCCTCCACGTCCCCACTATTGGGGTCCAGTACAGTGTGGTCCACCCCACATTCTGAACCCTGGTGGGATAAAGTTGGACTAATTTTATACAAGGCAGAAAATTATCAATGTTTAGTTTTAGACGAGGGAAAACTAACCTAACCTCTCAAATAGACCTAACTTAAATATAACCTAACCTAACATAGTAACACAATCTAAGCTAACCTAACCCACTAAATAACAACAGAAGTTTTATCACCATGTCAAATAAACCAGGATGGGTGGGTGGGAAGTGGGGGGTTGATCTTCAGGTGTTCCCTAAAGTCCACAGTATTTACCAGACGAAACACAACACATATATGGCAGTATTAATTCCTACTCTAGTTTACACAAGGTTGGGTCAGGCCATAGTCATACAGTCTAAGCAGCTATAAGTGACCAGCCCCAACTTACTATATTGAGGCATATAAGTTTGGTATATTAAGTACTTATTATATAAATACTATACAGTTTACTATAGTCTATTGATACATTATTTTATGCTTATTAATAACATTTCATAAATAATCTAACTACAGTTTCCTATAATTTACACAATTTCCACGTAATATTTTTTTGTTACCGATAGCATTTCATAAATACAAGTTGCTATTTATTACACTCAGTACATATAACTCTTCCTTTTCACTGATAGCATTTCATATAATTACAGTACAAGTTGCTATTTATTACACTACCAACATGATAATACTTCTAACTATATTATTATACCATTTCCTTAACAAACCTTCACTGCTTTCTGAAAAATATATAAGAACAATTAGTGTGAGGAGATGGAACCGCCAGACTCATATACGAGGGCTGTCCGGAAAGTATCCAGCCATTTACTATTAAAAAAAAATATTGCTTACCTAGGGCAATGGTGCCTTAGTCCCCTTCAGGGTACTCCCCTTGGGACCTCACACACTTCTCCCAGCATCCCTTCCACTTTTCAAAACAGTCTGGAATGGGACTAAGGCACCATTGTCCTAGGTAAGCAATATTTTTTTTTAATAGTAAATGGCTGGATACTTTCCGGACAGACCTCGTATATGGTTCAACTAAAACAAAAGTTATTAATCATTTATACAGATACACTAAACCCTCCCAATACTGGACTAATTCTTGCAAGCCCTGTCTGCTGTTGGGAGGATTCTGTTATTGAGAAGTCCGTGATTGAGAAGGTTTAGTGTATCAAAGAAATCACATAATTATTTTCTTTATTTAAAATGTAACGAATCGGGAGTATGCATCGACGGAATGAACAAATCAAAACAAAAGGAGATTGAGGGGTTATTGATTTTTATACAGGGAGACAAAGCAACCCAACTTAACCTAATCTATTCTAACTTAACCTAATCTAGCCCAATCTATTCTAACCTTATCTAACTTAACCTAACCCAACCCAACCTAACCCATAATTAATAGTAAGTAGTTTCCGTCTACGTACATTAAAAAAAAATTCCCATAGAGAAATTAAAATATATAATCACATCGCTTATAATCAAGTTTATAATAAGAAATAACTTATTTCATTTTGGAGTCTAAACATAATTTTATCTTCATAATTTGTTTCCTGGCACGAGGAGGGGGATTGGAGAGAGTTTCTAGAATCTTCTCAGAATTTCCCAGAAGTACAAATTAATTCATTCAACCTCGGAATTTACTCCCAGAGCCGGAAAAAAAGAATTTGCCGAGATTTTCCGGAAGTTTTCTTGGAATTTCACGGAAGCTGTGCCTCATTTTCAACCTAGAAAACTTGTTCACAGACCCAGAAGTGATAGTTATTCTGGAAAATTCCGAGCCAGTTTCAAATACAGTTTTGGAAAGTTCCGGAGAGCTTTAAGAGTGAGTAATCCAGTTAAAATAAGCTGGGGTGGTTAATCTACAGATCACCCCACACTTTGTAATACATAAATGTACTGTATTGTGTCAGCTTAATGTTACACTCTCAGCTTAATAGAAATATACGTCAATAACTGTCAGCTTAAAGAGGTCAGATCAGGTCATTACAGGGTCAGAGGTTGTCAGGTCATTACAGGGTCAAAGGTTATGTCAGGTCATTACAGGTTCATTGGTTATATCAGGTCATTACAGGTTCAGGGGTTATGTCAGGTCATTACAGGTTCAGGGGTTATGTCAGGTCATTACAGGGTCAGAGGTTATGTCAGATTACAGGGTCAGAGGTTATGTCAGGTCATTACAGGGTCAGAGGTTATGTTGGGTCATTACAGGGTCAGTGGTTATGTCGGGTCATTACAGGTTCAGAGGTTACATCAGGTCATTACAGGGTCAGAGGTTATGTCGGGTCATTACAGGGTCAGAGGTTATGTCAGGTCATTACAGGGTCACAGGGGTCATTACAGGGTCAGGTTATGTCGGGTCATTACAGGGTCAGTGGTTATGTCAGGTCATTACAGGGTCAGAGGTTATGTCGGGTCATTACAGGGTCAGAGGTTATGTCGGGTCATTACAGGGTCAGAGGTTATGTTGGGTCATTACAGGTTCAGAGGTTACATCAGGTCATTACAGGGTCAGAGGTTATGTCGGGTCATTACAGGGTCAGAGGTTATGTCGGGTCATTACAGGGTCAGAGGTTATGTTGGGTCATTACAGGTTCAGAGGTTACATCAGGTCATTACAGGGTCAGAGGTTATGTCGGGTCATTACAGGGTCAGAGGTTATGTCGGGTCATTACAGGGTCAGAGGTTATGTTGGGTCATTACAGGTTCAGAGGTTACATCAGGTCATTACAGGGTCAGAGGTTATGTCGGGTCATTACAAGTTCAGGAGTTATGTCGGGTCATTACAGGGTCAGAGGTCAGGTCATTACAGGGTCAGAAATCATCGGGTCATTACAAAGTCAGGCCATTACAGTTCAGGTCATTCCTTTCCGTGGCATCACCAAGATGTAATTAATTATTTTACAGTAATTGAGAAGGTAATTAATTATGTTATAGTAATTTATTGCCAATAATTAAGGATAATTTATATAAATATTGGTATTATATATTTAACTAGGAATTAATTAAGAGAACTATAACAACGTAATTTAATGATTTATAGAGATATTTACCAAAACAGTCATTAAAATAAGAAGATACTACTAAAATATCCTAACTTTAACTATGAATTAAACAATGGAATAAAAATGGTATTGGATAATTAGATACGATTTAAAGCTAAAATGGGCGAGGTTAAAGGGGTCGACATTTTGAACCTTTATTGTGGCTTTATGTATTTTAGCTCTTACCAGAACTTCATTGACCACAAGGGGCTTCTCAAGCTTCTCCTTCTCCTTTCCGTTCTTAGCGAAAATGATCATCTTGGGGTAATTGGAAGTAGTAGTAGTAGCAGAGACACTCACAGCACAAAGCCTCAACTCAGACTACGCTCTTACCCTCCCTAGTCCCTGCAATAATCAATATACCAGTATAAATTATTAAACCTAACGCAAGTAGGATCAGATTCTATAAACTCTACAACAAAAGACATTCACTCTGCTCTTTAGTATACATATGTGGATTTATATAAAAGGTTCCAATTCTTTATAGCCCAAAATGGTAATGACGATCATGGTATCTATAGTAACATGAGTCTCCTCACTATGATAACGCTTTACGGTAACACAAATAGATGTAAATATTAAAGGGGATTATTTTTACAACAAGAATATTATTATTATTATTTTATTTACATAACTTAAGGGTAATAAACTCCACATATCCAGTAAATAAGGAGAGAAGTCCGTACTGCGTCATTACATTCCAACAACAGCCCTCAACATGTCAACATCACCCAACAAGCCAACTCGTTAATCCCTTGGGCAGTCGGTCACGTCCCCGTCATGTACTGCTTATTTTAATTGACATTCATCTTTAGTAGCGTTTATTTTTCCTAGCATTCATCTTTACTGGCGATCATTTCTACTGGCGTCTAATTTTAGTAGCGTTTATTTTTCCTAACGTTTATATTCACTGGCGTTCATTTACTCTTGCGTTCATCTCTATTGACGTTCAACTTCATTAATGTTGATCTTCACTTGTGTTCACCTTTAGACTTACCACCCAACAAAAGAATTATTATTGTTATTATTATTATTGTTGTTATTATTGTCATTATTATTATTATTATTGTCATTATTATTATTATTATTATTATTATTATTATTGTCATTATTATTATTATTGTATTATTATTATTATTGTCATTATTATTATTGTTATTATTGTCATTATTATTATTATTATTGTCATTATTATTATTATTGTCATTATTATTATTATTATTGTCATTATTATTATTATTATTATTGTCATTATTATTATTATTATTATTGTCATTATTATTATTATTGTCATTATTTTTATTATTGTCATTATTATTATTATTATTGTCATTATTATTATTATTGTCATTATTATTATTATTATTGTCATTATTATTATTATTATTGTCATTATTATTATTATTGTCATTATTATTATTATTATTGTCATTATTATTATTATTATTATTGTCATTATTATTATTATTATTGTCATTTATTTATTATTGTTATTATATCATTATTATTATTATTGTCATTATTATTATTATCATTATTATTATTGTATTATTATTATTATTATATTATTATTGTTGTTATTATTATTATTATCATTATTATTATTATTGTCATTATTATTATTATTGTTATTATTATTATCATTATTATTATTATTGTCATTATTATTATTATTTCATTATTATTATTATTATTATTATTATTTATTATTGTCATTATTATTATTATTGTCATTATTATTATTATTGTATTATTATTATTATTGTCATTATTATTATTATTGTCATTATTATTATTATTATTATTGTATTATTATTATTATTATTGTCATTATTATTATTATTATTATTATTATTATTATTGTCATTATTATTATTATTATTATTATTATTGTCATTATTATTATTATTGTCATTATTATTATTATTATTATTATTGTCATTATTATTATTGTTATTATTATTATTATTATTGTCATTATTATTATTATTGTCATTATTATTATTGTTATTATTATTATTATTGTCATTATTATTATTATTATTATTATTATTATTATTATTATTATTGTCATTATTATTATTATTATTGTCATTATTATTATTGTCATTATTATTATTATTGTCATTATTATTATTATTATTGTCATTATTATTATTATTATTATTGTCATTATTATTATTATTATTGTCATTATTATTATTATTATTATTGTCATTATTATTATTATTATTATTGTCATTATTATTATTATTATCATTATTATTGTTATTATTATTGTTATTTTTATTGTTATTGTGGGGTTCAAGATATTTGGTTCACACTCATGATGGGATGGAGAAAGGAAACTCACAATGTGCTCTCTGTATACATGTTGTATTGGATGTACAATGCAGCTTGGTGCTGGGAAGGCAGCGTGGTTACAAGCGTGATGTAGAGAGAGCTGGTTGGTGAGGGTGCTCAGAGGAGGACCAGCTTGTGGGTCGCCATACTCACCGGCGGGAGCGAGGACCACCAGGCAGGCGGAGGAGGAGCGAGGGCCGCCAGGCAGCGGCGGAGGAGGAGCGAGGGCCGCCAGGCAGGCGGAGGTGTTGTTCCTTGCTGCGGCTGTAGCTAGAAGAAGAGGTAGGTCACCACGAGGTCAGGTCTTAAATAGCGGAGGTAGGCGTGGCTTAATAGTTGACCCCCGCTCCGTGATGTATGGCGGCGCTGGTTGACCTAGACCACGAGGCATACACTAGGGAATTGGTGGGGTCGATTACTCAGCGACAAACAGCGTTTGTAGGGGAGAAATCCACTACAATACTCCCCCTTCCCTCCAGGCGGTGTAGGAGACTTGTCTGCAGGGTTGCTTAGCACATGTGAGGCAGAACGGGCAGTGCATGCCTCATGTGAGACAACGGCGATGGCGTGGATGAGCCTGTCGCTGGATACAACTGTCTAGATACACACTATCTGTGGGAGAAGAGAGGGAGAAAAAGGGTGTGTGGAGGCGATGAACGTTGTGCTTCCCTCATGGCAGGTACAGAGTCGTCAGATGTGCCTGCTGGGGTGTGTGGGCCTGGGTCAGGAGCAGGGGCTGCGTCAGCAGAAGCGGATGAGGGCTCGTGACAGCAGCTGGGTCCACGACAGCAGCAGGGTGCAGGACAGTAGCAGGGAGTACCTAAGGGAGAAAAGAGGGGTGTGTGGGTCCGCACTCAGGAACAGAGACCGCATCAGGGGTTACTGCTGGACCGGGGTCGGCGTCTGAGGCAGGACGGGTGTGTTGGTCCGCGTCAGGAGCAGGGGCGGCAGGGGTTACTGCTGGGCCGGGGTCGGCGTCTGAGGCAGGACGGGTGTGCTGGGGTCGGCAGGACGTGGTGCTCCGGAGATTCTCACTCACACAGGATGGAGGAGAAACTGGTCACTCCGGGGTCACCATTTGTGGGGTTCAGAATATTTGGTTCACACTCGGGATGGAATGGAGAAAGGAAACTCACAATGTGCTCTCTGTATACATGTTGTATTGGATGTACAATGCTTATTCCCACAACTACAGTGTACTGGCAACTTCCTAAACGTATTAACACGTGCACAGTATATAAATAACTTCCCACCTTCAGTATAAGTGTAAGATGTGGATGTTAAGTCTGCATATTACTTAAATTGAGTTATTTTTATATATATAAGGTAAATAAATAATATATAAATTATGAGATATTTATTTAGAAGCAGGTATACAATTTACATAGATGGTGCAAGTATATGAACACAAATGAGTAGATTTCACCAAGTTCAACCAAAAATAACTCTTATCACAATATATTTTCTGTAAGTTAAATATAGATCTAGAAAAATATATAAATTAATAACTAAATATAATAATACAACATTGTACTTTGGATAATTCGTGGATCGTTTATATTATGTAATTATATAGGTAGGTTATAGGTTGGTTTGGTTTGGGTTGGTTTGGTTTTACTGGGAGTGATTCTTATACTTCCACTACAGAGTACAAAACACTACAGCACAGTACAGTATTGTGAGTCACTGTCACCTAACACTGTACTGTAGAGGTGTTTCAGGTGATGACAGTTATATTCTGATCAGCATCACTAATAACACTCATCAGATTCTGTAAATAAAGTTTATCGTGGTGTGAGTACTGAGAGAGGTATCTGTCCTCCATGTAGATGAGCTGTGAGTAAGTCAGGTCAGGTTTACCCTCCTTGTTCTTCTGCCACTCTATAGCGACCATGTCCACGAGGCTCTCCTGCAGGAACGCTCGGGCCATGTTCTCTGAGGTTAGGTCCAGGACCTCCGCGCCGTCCTTCGCGGACAGCCAAGAGTCTAAGCAAGATTGTTTAAAGTCGACGGCGTGTCTGTTGGACCACATCTGCGTGTGGTGCGGCTCGTGGTTGAGGTGGAGGTCGCAGGACTTGCGCCAAATGGAATGGTTTATGTTGTGCACCCACTTGAGGGTGTATCCCACGCACTGTAACAGCCCAAACTTGGAGAGGTCGTGGCGCTCTATCACCTCCTCCGACAGTTCTGGCATAAAACGAGAGAGTCGGCGGTAACTCTGCCTCACCCACTGGCGGTGAGAGTGTACCTGTGAGAAGTGCTCCCTAATATTAAAGTCGACCCACAGTAAACGAAGCAGAAAGTCGTCGTTGGTCGGCCCGTCGGGCAGGTCTCGTTCGGACTGACTCTCGGCATCTTCGGGTAAACTATTAAACACTAACACCCACTTGAGTTGATCTTGGGTGATAAATTTATCTTTTATGGCTTGCTGGAGGATGACGTTCTGTGCCTGTTGTCTGAGGGGTCGCCCCCAGAGCTCCGTCACCGCTCTACTCACCATGATGAGGTAGGCCGTGTCATGAGCCCTATTAGTTAACACGTCGGCGGCCCCATTCTCTCCCTTGGCCGTTAAGGCTGAACCGATCAGCCGTTTTTCTTCAATTTTCTTCTGGACTTCGATCTGAAACACAAAGGTGGAGCGCCTGAGTCGAGGTACGGTGGTCATCAGCATTCTCTCTCTCTCCGTCAGCACGACTTTGTCGAGCGTGTCGTCCGAGGCAATGATCTCGTCCATGAGGTCCTTTATAGTCCAGTGCTGCCTCCTGGTGTATCGGGCCAGAAACTTGTCGTCCATGTAGACCAGCTCCCGCGTGCTGATGTCCAGGTTCTTTCCCTTCTTCCTCTCCCACTCTACTCCCACCATGTCCACAAAACTCTCCAGCAGGAAAGGTTTGGGAAAATCCTCAGACTCCAGGTCGAGGTTCACGACGTCCATCCCGTACGGATGGCCGTCGTGGAAATCGCACACGTCCCTCATCCAGCGAGTCATTTTCTGGTGCTTCTCTTGGGGCGTGTACTGTGTGCTCCACATCTTGGGGTGATGAGGTTCACTGTGAAGATGAAGGTCACACGCCTTGCTCCATATGTCATGGTGGGTGTTGTGGGTCCACTTTAAGGTGTAGCCAATAGCCTGACTGAAGGCAAACTTACTTAAATCGTGACGTTCGACGATTTTCGGAGGGAGGGACGGCATGAAGTCCTTGAGACGGTCGTAACTCCTCTGGACCCACTTTCGGTGTTCGGCCACTTGCTGGAAGTGTTTCTCTAGGTTGAATTTGTTCCATATTAATTCCACTATGAGGTCGTCTACATCTTCTACGAGCCATCCCGAGTCGCCGCACTCCTCCTCCTCGACTGCATGGACCCACTTCAGGTGATCATCTCTGAGGTACCGTTCCTCGACCGCTCTCTTCAAGATCACATTCTCGGCATGGCGACGCATCCGGGGCGACCACAGTTCCATCACCAGTCTTGCTATAGCGAGGGGCTGGGCTGCCTTCTCTGCCTTCATCTTCCTTTTGGCTATCTGCTCCTCGTCCTGCTCTTCACCATTGTTGTTGTTCCGCAGGCCATCGTGGTGTTTACGATATTTATGACTGCGACCTTTGAGGCGTCTCTCTTCCTCGGTGGCTCTCGACGCCTCGATCAGCTTGGACCCGACTGCCTTCAGGTTCGGGGGCAGAGTTCTCAGTATAAGACTCGTACAGCTGCTCTCCATGTTGTCACGGTAACAATAATGTCGTTATTTACCCTCAAGATAAACGGCCAAGACCCGTCAAAACTCGGGGTAAATAATTGTGCTTAATATACTCTACAGATTTTGAAACTTAACATAAAAATTAACCCACGACTCCCACGGCTTTTATGAGACACCAGAGTATTGTTGACACACACACAGAGCCACAGAGAGTTCCATACTGATACCTTGAGTATGACACAACTGACAGTCTTCACCACTCAGGATTTTTCAGCGCTGGGAGTATCTTAAAGGGTCACCAACTCACACCACCACAAACACTGGACCACACACAAGTTCATAGTCTTTGAACCTGTGAGAACAAACGGGGAAAAACACATCGTCCTTTACTCGTGGCTGACAAGATGCAACTATAATGACCCAAACTAAACACTGGATAAAAGAGATCATCTACTTCTGAGGTTAATGTAACACAAAATTATTAATAAGATTTTTAAACTCGAGTCTAAAAGTAAGGAGTGTTGGCGACTCCTTGACACAAACCACAATGGAGTAGAGATTCTCAGTTTGTAATCACTCCTCTTCCTTGTACTTAGCTTGTAATCACTCCTCTTCCTTGTACTTAGCTTGTAATCACTCCTCTTCCTTGTACCAAGCTTGTAATCACTCCTCTTCCTTGTACTCAGCTTACAAAGACACTCTTCCTCTTTAGCTCTCAGGTCAACCAATCAGTGGAGACTATCTGGGGAAAGAAATTCTCTATTATAAACTAACTCTTGCAAATACCGCTGTTCTGAAACATCTAAGAGCAAGAATTACCTTAAATTCTTGTACTTTACATTGATTTAGTGAAACCCCCATCTAACAGAGAGTCTCTTATATTGTGAGTGTGTTAGATATGAAACCTAACCTAACCAAACCTCATAACTTTTTTGTCATTTTCACGAATTAAAGAATCTTTCTATAGTGACGTGTCCAGAAGTTGGTACAGTAGTTAAGGAACACAAAAGATCTTTAAAAATACCCCCAAAAAGTTATCCTCAACACAAAAGTTTTCTAAAGGTTGTACCCACAAGCTGTCCCTTACCCCCACAAAGTATTAATTACATTGACACCTACAGATAATGGCTTCTCTCTATATATAGTTTGTTAGATGGAGGTTTCATAAGTAACAGACCCTCAATATAATGCACTTCCATCTCTATAGTCCACTAAATGGGGTTTTTCTGCATATAATTATAGAATTCTCATCCAGAACAAAACTAAATAAATCATTCAAATACACGACACAAATCGATGAAACTATTTATAAACAAACATTTATTAAGTATAATCGTCTAATAGTATGCACATAATATACACATACAAAAATATACACATAGAAATACCTCCATTCACCCTTACATCCATTAGGGTCCACCACATACCTATAGTAAACATATCCCACCGATTAAAGGTACTTAAACCCACTAAAACATTAACAAACATAATAAAATTAATTAAAACACGTGAAATAATAAGTTTAACCTACCATACGGACGCCACCAAGCTTAGTACGGACAGGAAGAATAATTGTACGCAGATACGTTTTGAAGCAGGCCGTCCGCACCCTTAGTTCATCCCACCGCTGAGTACAACCTTATCTTGTCTTATATTATTCCTAACTCACTCATATTATTATTTTTAGCATTATTAATGATATATAATAGGATATATAATATGAATTAGTGTTATTAAGAGAATTTTTTTCACTATTTTAATGTTTAAGTTTATAAAAGAATATTGTACTTTCCCTTACCAAGAATATGACGTAAACAAAGAAGGTAAATAGTGAAGGGGTGGTTAAACTTCACCTGGTTATTCCGGTCATAAACGCTAGTACTAGGTATGTACTAGCTCTCTGTTACACACTGTTGTTAAGTACTAGGTATGTACTAGCTCTCTGTTACACACTGTTGTTAAGTACTGGCTCTCTGTTGTAATGACCACGGTTGTATGTGTTAGTTAAGGTAAAATTAAATTATTCAAATTAACGCTCAGTAGTCCATAAAACCTGTATCTCTGAAACTATGTTATTTCTTAAGAACTCAAACCATGTTCATTGATTGGAAATTGAGAGAGAAACCCGTCCTAGAATATTGTATTTGATGGCTGATTACAGATGAAACATTCAGGATCTTTTGTGAATGATGCTGAAGGCTGAAACTTGTTAAATAAGTGGGAGATGTCTGAGTTTCCAATTGCTACTGAAATTAGATAAGAGAATCCGATGTTTGTAGTTTGATTATTGTCAGTTGTCTATTTAAGTAAGCAATTAATTTCCTGAAAAGAATCTCAAACTGCAAATCTCCAGGGTCTAACGTATCCCCACGGATGCACCCCATTTCGTAACCAATCCACATCGTCACCGACCCGGTTCGTCACCAATATCAAATTCATTTCGTCATCACTAACAGTTACTGGTATTAGTGTCAAATTGTAAGTTATAATTTTACACTAATATAAATTACACATGTATACAGACCACTCGAGAAGTATTGTGTTATTATTATACATGAACATTAATTATTTAATGAAGAAAATTAATAAAACATTGATAATTAAACAAAGTACAGAACAAATGAAGAATTTTTGTGTTATTACTAAACATGAATATTAATTATTTAATGAAGAAACTATTCAACAATGGTAAATAAGCAAAATACAGTACAAATGAAGGTGATTTTGGCACCAGCGCATAAACCACCGAGCAGTGAGATGATTGCAGGCGTATTAACAATGTTTTTATTTAATATTTTCGTCTTTAATAAATTGTCTTAGTGTTTTTTTTTATTATTTTATCCAAGCAACAGTTATTTTCGAGTATATAATGATGGGAATGAACGGGGTGACGAAACGGGTTGGTGACTATGGGCACCCTCAACCCCATGAAGAGTCTTGTTTGTACCTCTGCTGAGTCCGTGAAAGTAACGATGTCAGCGTGTATTTAACGTCCATTTCACCTTTTCCTGTCAAGCTCAACCTATGATTAGATTGTAACAATAGATGTAAGAAATTCACTTGATCCGTGACACTGAATTTCATAGTCAAATGTACAGCGATTGGTTTAACTATATGTGTAGTAAGGTGGACGAGTTATATATTAGTTACCCCTGTAATTAAAAGAAAGAAGATGGAATATTTTAGTTTGTGCATTATTATAACTTATTAATATTATTCTATGGCATTTCTTAGTGTAATTTGTATTATTCGAAGAGTTTTCACTATCTGGTTTCTGTACTAGAACTTAAGGGAAAAGTGTGAAGCGTTTAGTGTTGGACCCCACAGGAGGTAAATTTAGTGTGTGGTGTTGGGGGGTTGAGCTGCTTCACTGGTGAGTGTCCGTGAGTCAAGTTAATCAATCAGTGTTTTAGAGTAGCCCAAAGTATTAATGGTTTTATGTGAAGGATGTGATGGTTAACTGTCTAATCCTCCATCAAGATATGAGATATGTTCCTAAGTTGTCAGGGCTAGAGAACTTTTGTTGTGTGCTTATCGGCCCACACATTACTAACTCGGCCCATCTTATATAACCAACTCGGCCCACACATTACTAACTCGGCCCTCCTTAATAACCCCCTAAGCCCCGGGTTAGGGTGCTGGTGGCAGTACCCCCCACACACTCGGGGTTAAATTGAGAAAAATCAACTTTAATAAAAATATTGTTTAACCTTTTAAAATGATAAAACAATACAAATTAAACAAGAAGAACTATATATTGACCATCTTTCAGAGTGAGAGTTGTGAACTGTTGGAACACTCTACCAGAGAGTGTTGTGACGGCACCGAGTGTGAGCTCTTTCAAGACCAGACTTGACCAACACTGGAGCAGGTTCAGGTACATTCAGGAGCCGGTGCCGTGCACAAAACCTTCTGGGGTAAATGCTTAGTTTTGGGTAAGATTTTGTAATGTTAGGTTAGGTCAGGTTAGGTCAGGATTCCTTGGGTTTGATTGGTTCATTTTTTGTGTTCTTACCCCACAATTTCCTTTGAGTTCAAAGCACTGCTCACTTTGTGCTTTCATTGTCTTTGGTAGTGAGTATGTTTCATATCATCCTTATACTGTAGTCAGTTTGCCCAAGATATAATGTGAAATTCATTCAAAACCTTCCGTTACTGTATTTATTAATATTTTCAGCTCTCACAAATCAGTCGTACATCTTAGATGTCGATAACGAACATCAGTAATTGCTGAGCCCGGAAGGTTTATCGCACCGGAAGATGTGTTGCATGACCAGTACTTGCCAACAGTGCGTAACAGAGACGTGAACGATCGCCAGGGCGGCTAACGAGCCGATCAATGGTAAAGAGGATAAAAGTAAGTAAAAAAAGTGACTGAACAGAGGGAGGAAGGGGGGGAGACAGAGTTGGTGTGACAGCTGATGCTCGTGGTCTTTCCTCTCTTAGCAGCTATTGTTAACTCGCCTTTGTGTCCGAGGTGGCCAATAATGTCTGTATTTACTGATCTTAATACTTATTTGTTATAAGTAATTCATTTAGAATATTTTATTTTCATAATTTATCATAAAAAGGTGGTTGGCAACAATCACCAGTTGGTCGCCTGTCTGTCTTTGTGTTTGTTGAGCAAGTAGTGCATCAAATAATAATAATTCCACATATAAATACATTTATAACATAATCATAGCATTGTTTTACAGTAATACTACAATACAATACAACTACACTACTTTTAGTAATATTACTTTGATACAACATGATAAAATGGACAAACATTGAAAATGAAACAAACAAAAGTAGGTAATTATGTCCAGGAAGCTTCCCTGTGGCCGAGGGGTGGCGTGACAGGCAACTAGTCACACTGGAACCTGATAACCCGCGCTGGCCATTTAAACAGTGGCGGGAAAAGGTGCGCATTCTGGAACGTTACCCGGGGCCTAAGGGTTACCATAAGTAACCAACACTGCCCACACATTACTGACTCGACCCATCTTATATAACCAACACGGCCCACACATTACTGACTCGACCCATCTTATATAACCAACACGGCCCACACATTACTGACTCGGCCCATCTTATATAACCAACACGGCCCACACATTACTGACTCGCCCATCTTATATAACCAACACGGCCACACATTACTAACTCGGCCCATCTTATATAACCAACACGGCCCACACATTACTGACTCGGCCCATCTTATACAACCAACACGGCCCACACATTACTGACTTGACCCATCTTATACAACCAACACGGCCCACACATTACTGACTCGACCCATCTTATACAACCAACACGGCCCACACATTACTAACTCGGCCCATACATTACTGACTCGGCCATCTTGTACACTTCAAACAAGTAGCTGACTAGAGGTTCAGGAATGAGTTTGAGATTTGTTTTATGTCTCTTGTTGTTCACTGAAATACAGAGAGTGAACACCAAGGGCTCACATTCATAACTTGTGCTTCTCCAGGTGATTTGGAATAGAGTTTGAAATTATTGCTTCCAGTAATTTGCCTACAATTGATGTTAAACTGGCACTACACCTGTTTTAAGGACTTGTTAAACAACTTTGCTAAGGGCATACTAAGCTCTTCCTTACATTCCTTTAATACTCTGGCAAATATCTCATCGGGACCAGGTGACTTATTAGGCTTTAGTTTGTCTATTTCCTTAATAACATCGTTACTAGTCACTACTATCTTGCTTAATTTATTTTCTTCACTATCTCTGTATAGAGTCGGTGCCTCGGGTATCATGTTTAAATTTTCGGTGGTGAAAACTGTTGAAAAATATCTGTTCAGATTATTGGTCATTTCTCCGTCGTTATCAGTTAGCTCGCCGGTATCTGACTATTGGTCCAATCTTTTCTCGTGTTTTAGTTTGATACATTTGATAGAATCCCTTGGGGTTTGACTTCTCCTCCCTTGCTTCCTTCAGTTCATTATTCCTCTTTACTTTTCTTATCTCGGTCTTAACCCTACCGGCCAATACTTCATAACAATCTCGGAGGTAAACTTCACCACGATTTATTCTCCTGCCTATAGCCTTCCTTTGTCCAATAATATTCTTTGAAAAGTTATATATCCATTAAGGGTCATTGTTATTTGATCTGAGTTTTCTGTATGGTATCTACTGCCTTTGTGCATTAAGTAACTCATTATTTAAATTATTGTGGAACTCGTCAACCTCAGATCTGGTGACTGTTTATCAGTAATGTTGGCCATAGATTAAAGGGTAAAATTGTAAGTATTTTCTTGTTATTTTATTTAATGGCTACACAGTAAGGTACAGAGGCAGAGAATTTTAAACATATAGTACAGTAATAACAAACTGTATCACACTGTGTAGTTACATACAGTAAATTACACAAAAGTATACTGATGGTTCACTCCAATCTCTCTGTCATTACCTCAACATCTCTCAAGAGCTGTAGCTAGCAAACTATCTGGATGCCAACCTTTTGCTTTACAGTTGTCCCAGGAATACACCCTGTAATATATTGTATGCACTTGAGAATCACCCTATACACTGAATAAAGTGAATAAAAATACATTTTCCAAGTGTCTTATGTGAATTAGGTGTTATTGATTCTTGGTAACATGTGATGGATCATCTGTCATGTGTGCCAATAAATTGTACTGCTCAATGTTAATGACTAGTACATGAATGTCCCTCTTACATTGTTGTACTATATGCAGGACACAGTAACATGAATACTGTCCTGAATTTTCTTAAGTCTTAATTGGTGTCCAAGACAAGGAAACTCTTTTAAGGGTACCAATACAACATTACACTGTCATTCTTGTAGAAGATCAACTGTGGTTAAATCTCCACTCAAGGTTGCTGACATAATTCCTCAGAGGTGTTAAAATGTTAGGCCTGCATGGATAAGCAGAGTCCCCAATCAGATGTCCATGGCTGCCAGCTTCCATCACTTGTTTCACTTTGAATATTGTCAAAAATTCTACCATCATGTCAAGATACTTGCCATTGGTCTGTTGCAGATATTTTGTAACCTGGCCCAGCTATTGATGGAGTGATAGCCCTTCCTGTTTCTATAAATTTCACCCATTGCTCTACCTGGGTATGTGTGTGCAGACTATGGCACCTATTACTCCAGGAAGCCTTGTTTCTGGTAGAATCTGTTGGAGCAAAACATAAATTAGAATGATTTGCACAATGTAAATTATAGACAATCATTTTTATCAATGAGTATTTTTCTATTGCTTATGTAACAGGATTGTTACATAACACAATATAGATAGTATGGTACTGGATCAGCCAAGAATACAGTGTTAAAGCAGTGTTATGACATAAAAAGTAGATATATTGTACAGTTACATAAACTGTACTGTACATACAGTGAAAGTTCTGTACATAGCAGAGTGGACAGTGTATGCCTACTGTAGGCAAGTTTGTAAGGGGTCTATGTAAAGTATACAGTATGTGTACAATCCCTCCTTCATAGAGGGAGAAAATGATTGTAACACTTGCTCTAGTAGAGGGTCCAGGACAAAGGCAGACCATCCTGTATCATCATATGGCCTGCCTTACCACAAGTTTAAGACTAAAGCATTTATTGGTCATTACAGTATAGTATATTTTATTTACAATACCATACGGTTTACAGTACTTGTACAGTTGTGTTTGCATAAATATACAGCTCTTTGTCTGTTATGCAAGATGAGTAGTTTAGACTCTTAAATCTTTACCCAGTACAGTACTCGGAAAAATTCAGGGGATGTGGGATTTTTTCCGAGGAAGAGAAAATTCGTCCCAATACCCAGTACAGTAAAGCCTCAAATAACGACGGTAATGTGTCCTCCAATATTGCAGTGTAAGATGAATCATCGTCTCGCGAATCATTAATTACCATTAAAATAAAGCAATACTAATGAGATGTGTTCCCAAGTGTGACATTTTCATATCTTTTGTGTGGCTTTTTATCCTTTTTCCCCCAAAACAATACAATTAATGAAAAATGCAAACTATATTCTTTAAATAATGTTTATGACTGCACCTTTTACAATATATATCAGTAATGATAATGTCACACAAGAGGAGATGGGACGCCTTTGTTTTCGTTTGTGTTTACAGCCGGGAGTCCGGGATGATAGTTCTACACGAGAAAATGAAGAAAATAAGACCCTGGTTGTAGCTGTAGTAAAATGAATGTAAAAAAATTAATAGTAAGTATGTTTTAAATAATGTTATTTAATTATAATAAATGGAACAATACAAGTAGCTAACCACTAAATCGTAAAGAAAAAATAAGGGAGATGGATTGGGAACGCCAACATATACGTGTGCATTTAAGGATACCGCGTCATTTATCTTTTTAAGAATATGTACAAAAGATTCATTTTGTTTATTACTGAATATGTATTTGATTGAATTAATCTTTATATGTGCAAAATGAACAACACAATTTATTAATAATACGTAGCATATTAAAACACACTACAGTGGTCCCTCGGTTAATGAGCACAATCCGTTCCAGCAGGTTGCTCGTTAACTGAAAAACTCGTTAACCGAAACCATTGTTTCAATGGGTTTTTGGGTAATTAGTTCCAGCTCACCGAAAATTGCCTAAATTCAACAAAAAAGGTAGAAAAGTACACTTACTTTGAGGTGTGTATGTAGAAGGCTCCTGGATGATGATGATGATGGGAATTAGAATGGGGGTGGAGGAGAAGGGAGAAGAGAAGGCATTGGGGTGGAAGAGAAGTCACCCCATGGTGCTATTTCACCCATAAAATTATAGTTCTCTTGGTGTAATTCAAGATTATTTTCTTTAAATCAACACTGCACTGCATTATATATTGTCAATATGTAAAATAAATTTCAAAATGACCAATAATTTGCTTGGAAACACAGAAAAAAGCGTTTAGTTGAAGAGAGTCTCAAGCAATATGTTACCTCCAGTGAAAAGAGAGAGACTAACGCCTGTTTGTGTGTTGACAGGCTGGATGGCGCACCAGAAACTAGTTTCTTTACCTTCAGTTATGTTCAATAATTGTTAAAATGACTAAAAAAAGTTAATATTAAACTTTTAAAATTATTGAATAGTATAAACTTCTTGATATTTACTAAAATAGTAAGGAATTTAAGCCCTAAAACCGATTACTGTATTGGCGGACTAATACTACAGCTGGTGGACCGCCAAATGCAAGCGAAAACATGTTGAGGTCGGCTCGTAAAAAACTCGTTAATCGAGGGATTGCTCGTTAACCGAAGCTAAGAATCTTATGGAAGGTAAATCGTTAACCGAAATCTCATTAACCGAGGCGCTCGTTAACCGAGGCGCTCGTTAACCGAGGGATCACTGTAGAGGAGACAAGACGGCATTGTTTTCATGAGTGACGATGGTTCTACATAAGAAACTGAAGAATATAAGACCCTGGTTGTAGTTGAGGTGACCTTAATGTAAAAAAATTGAATACATATATGAATGTTTTAAGTAATGTTATTTAATGTTTATAAATGGAACACTAGAAGTAGCTAACCACTAATGGTAAAGAAATAGAGCAAGACGATTGGGAACGCCAACGTATGTACAGTGAGTACAGGTGAAAACACATCGTCATTTCTCTACATAAGAATATGAAAGCAATAGTTATTTACTGTTCATATATGTTTTAAATAATATTTACGAATGTAAAACAAAAATTCTACTCGCCAATGGTGGTAAAGTCTAAAACATAAGGACAGGCAATGAATATTGTGCAAGTTTTTACTCGGATGACAAAGTCATCAGGTTCAACTCTGGCTGAAGCTGCAGCTTTCTATAAAGCTGTTGCTGAAACTGTTACTGAACCTGAAGTTGTTGTTGAAGCTGCTTATGATGCTGAAGCTGAAGTTGATGGTTTAGGCCTTTGAATAATAAAGCTGTCAAAAGAACCTTGCACAGCTGCTTTCTTTTCTCATTAAACATCTTTATGTAGAGGTCATTTGTGTTTATTTAAATTTTAATGCTTTGTTCTGTTAATGGATCCACTTCAGAAAATATGTTCATTGCTTGCTCCATATAATATCCACAGACCTCTCACCTTTTTCATATCGTTTTAACACATCTAGTTTCTCGGCTAAGCTTATACACTTTCTATTAGCTTTTGAACCAGCACTACCATCACTTGCTCTCTTGCTCTTGTTGAATAGGGATGCAAAAATGCTGTAAGAAACCTGAGAAAGTTTTCTCCTTTTCCTGTTCAGATGAGTGAAAACAAAGGGCCCGCCAGCTGCGATTGTTTATACTAGTGATGCTGGCATCACCACTAACAAGCCCGGCAGCCTCCGTGTGCAAGGCGTGTTTTAATTTTTTTTATAATATCGGGATTTAGTTATTATTTATGCGAAAATGTAATACTGTGTATATTTTTTTTATTTCATCATAAATACGAAGAAAATTATGGCATAAATTGAATTGGGTCCTAAATTAACCAGGGTCTTACAGATGAAGCTTCATTAGTTGAACCGTCGTTATCGGAGGCTTTACTGTAATGTTTCATTCCCAGAAGAGGTTTACACCCATCGATCCAGTTAATGGAGTGTTAGCTGTATACTGCTGCTTATTACAATAACCTTGCCTTATTACTACCCATACTGTACATGTCTAGTAACACAGTGTACAGTATACTCTACTGCTTATTACAATAACCTTGCCTTATTACTACCCATACTGTACATGTCTAGTAACACAGTGTACAGTATACTCGTATCCTTTTTGTTATAGGCATTATTCAGAATTCTTTTATTTATTTTTTCCTCTAATGTTTTTTGTCTTTACTTGTTATCTGAAATAATCTTTGAAATGTTCAGTTCATTGTTCATAATTGTTCTTTATATCAGTTGTGATAATTTCAAGTTTCATTTACATAGTGCTACATGCCACAGAGTAATCTTTTTATGTTGTTGCTTCAAGTAAACACCTCTTATCTTACTGTGAAGTAAACTGTACTCTACATATTTGGATTAGTAAATTCTCATCTCATTTTTGTCTGAAATTTTTGTAAGTGACCTTCTGTACTGTATGGGCCTTAATTGGCTAATGTTTCAATTCATATGTTTAATTCTCTCATAATTTTCATGACTGTTAATGTGAAGTTCATAATAATATTCCAATGTAGACTTTTTTCTGTAACTGTAAGATAAATGATGTATGGGTAAATGTAATGGACTAATGTACTCGATAGAGAAAACAATGTGTTATATATTCTTGTTGTCTATTGTTATGTTATAATAAACCATACAGTCCTTCACACACTGTGCCATATACTATAACAATTGTTTGTTGTTCCTCGCTCTCAATAATTACAGTATATTCATCATTTCAGTCAACCCTCGAAGATTCGGACCCTGTAAATCCGGATTTTGGAAGATTCGGACAAAAAATTTGGAGGTCTGGGCCAAGACGCCTCCCTAAGAATCATCCCCAAAACAGAAGAGGATAAAAGTAAAAAAGTAAAGTAAAAGAACAAAGAACATCTTGGGACCATGGGTGCTGGCTGACCAGTCGGCCACAGGTGAGAAACAAACAGTTGTTATTTGTTGTTTGTGGGAACATTTCACTCACTCTAGTAAGGATACACTGTTTCTTATTATGTTATCATAGGTAAATGCTTGGTTTATATAATTTGTTTATCACTGAGTCTGTCAACATTTTCAAATTAGACTACAATATAGTATTGTATTTCTCCCGTACATATTTCAGTTGTACGTCTGGCAGAGGGAGCGGGTAAGGGAAGTGACTGGTTGAGTGTCCTCCCTCCCTGCCATATTTCACTGTTATTATTAGTGTTTACTGATATAATAATACTTAATAATGATTAATCGTGGCATTGTAGTCAGGTTAGATCACTGCAACCACCAAGCTTCTGGGCCAGACTGTGAGGCGTTATGGTTCTTTTTCAACTCGTATTTTCGGGTAGATATACGTAATTTTCTTCGTTTATTCTTTACATGCACACACCATCCTAAATACATATTGTGAAAAAAGTAAAAGAAATAATTGTCCTAAGGGCAAACCTGTACTTAAATGTACTAAGTTAATTACTACAAATTTTGTCTAGTGCTAAGTCAAGCCAGTGACATTTTACAAGTGAAAACTTAAACTCCCTCTATATGACTGATAAATATGCACTTGGTAATCTCCCCCCCCCCTCCCCCCGCCCCTATCGGCTGGCTAACATACCACTAATGGAAAACAAATGTCCCAGTTATGGCTGGCCGGTTGCCTTATCTCTACCCTAAACAAACATTTGGGATGGGTTGTGCGGGAGGCCCAACGCAACCCATGAGAATCGCCCTTACTAAGAAAAATTTTTCTCTTGGAGAATAAATTTTCAGCACCTGTATACAATCAAAAGAATGCCTAGCCCAGACACACAATTCGACATTCACACTGTGGTGTGTGTTTAACACTAACACTGCAACGGAATATAGTCGCCAATCGCCACTGAGGGAAAACCTCAACATTTACTTTAGTTTTTCTGTCTAGAGGAAAACTCCGCGGCGAGGGTGACAATTCCCGAGCAATAGTTCATGCTAAGCGTAAGCACGCTACGTTTACATTAGAGCAACGTGTTGTGTGGTGTAGGGTATGTAGACATTGTTTAGGTGGCACAGGTGTTGTGTTATGTTCTCAAGTGTAGAAAGGTGTGAGAAAAATATACATGACATATGACGAGCCGCCAGACGCTTGGAGGCTCGAGTCTACTGGAGTCTAGACCAACTCCACACTCATTTGGGAAGATGCCCTCTCAATCAGTTGCTCTGGTTCCCCTACAAGTCGAGATAGGAGGTCAGCCCTCACATTCAGGCTGCCCTTGATGCACCGGAGGACAAAGTTGAACTGCTGGAGATACAGTGCCCACCGCATCAGACGAGCATTTGCATTCTTAGATGGTCGGAGACTGGTGAGCGGCATGTGGTCTGTCTCCAACACAAACTCACCTCTGTAGAGATAGTAGTAGTACTTCTTGATGCCTTCCACCACTGCCAAAAGTTCCTTCTCGACCATGCTGTAATTCCTCTCCGCAGGCTTCAACTTCCGACTGTGATACGCAACTGGAAAAACCTCGCCATCTGCCTCTTGTAGTAGCATTGCACCAACCCCATCCTGTGAAGCATCGGTCCGGAGGATGAAAGGCTCTTCCTTCCTCACCAGTTGAAGGATGGGTTGCTTGCATAGCAGGTTCTTGAGGGCACTGAAAGAATCCTCTTGTTCAGGTCCCCATTGCACTTTGTTAGATGCATGTTTCTTGAGCAGGTCAGATAAAGGGAGAGCCACCACGGCAAAGTTTGGGATGAAGTTCCGGTAGTACCCTACGAGGCCCAGAAATGACCTCACTTGTTTTTTTGTAGTGGGCCGTGGTGCATCTTGGACCTTTTTGATCTTCTCATTCTGACAGGTGCAGCGTCCTCTGCCGACAGTGTGTCCGAGGAACTGTACTGCAGCCCGACCGATCTCGCACTTGCTTGGTTTCACGGTCATGTTTTTTTGTTGGAACCTCCGGAACACCTCCTCTAAGAGTTCCAGGTGTTCCTCAAATGTTGCTGAATGGATTAACACATCGTCCACAAATGCCTCAATTCCCTTGATGCCGTTTAGGACTTGCCTCATGACACGGTTGAAGATGGCAGGGGAGTTTGTGAGACCAAAGGGAAGGACTCTGTACTGATAGAGACCCCCTGGCGTGCCAAAGGCTGTGATCTGCCGACTCTTCGGGTCCAGTGGGATTTGGAAGAACCCCTTGGTCAGATCAAGTATGGTAAATAACTTGGAACCAGCTATTCTTGAAAAAATAGTTTTCTGATCACACATAGGTTCAGCATCCACCTGGGTAATGGCATTTACTCTCCTATAATCCCCACAGATCCTGACACCCCCATCCTTTTTTCGGACGACTACCATAGGACTACAGTATGGAGACGATGATTTCTCTATGATTCCTACTGCTTCCATTTCCTCAATTTCTTGTTTGACAGTGTCCAGTAGTCGCCTAGGTATAGGATAGGGCTTTACCCGAACAGGTGTAGGGCTGGTCAGTTCAATAGTGTGACAGTCGATCCGGGCAACTCCTGGCTTATCAGAGAAGATGTCCTTGTAGCGATGCAACAGAGAGCCAATGGCATCTCGTTCCTCTGCCGATAGATTTCCGTTCACCTCAACGTCCGTGAAAGTCTCACTCTGGCGGGAACGTGCAGTGACAGGCCCATCTTCCTCATCACTGACAGAGATCACTGTGGCAGCACAAGTTACCCCTGAATCACACTGGGAAGGCTCGTCCCTGTCTTCCTCAGTGGAGACTGTACCCCCGATCGGTGACTGGAAGTACTTCTTCAGCATGTTGATGTGGAACTTCTTTCGTCGAGATCCCACCTGGACGATGTAAGTCAGATCCGAGACACGCTCTGCAATGTCGAATGGACCTTTCCACTGAGCCAGTAACTTATTGCGCATCGTAGGCAACAGAACCAGGCACTGATCACCTGGCTTGAAACAACGAAGCTTGGCCTTCTTGTCATAGTAAGTCTTCTGGACCTCTTGAGCCTTTATCAGCTCTTGCTTTGCCAGTTGACAGGTTTCTTGGAGACGATCAGCTTAGTCAATGACGTATGTATAAGTGGTCTTGACTTCCGGATCTGGTTCCTCATCATCCAACAGTTCCCAAAGAACCTGTAGAGGTCCCCGGACGGACCTGCCATACATAAGCTCGAAGGGAGACACCTTGAGTTAGCTCTGTGGCACCTCCCGGTACGCGAACAGAAGTGGGCCAATGTAGCGCGGCCACTCCTTAGGTTGTTCGGCTGCCATCCTCCTGAGCTTCTTCTTCAGCTGTTGGAGCTGAAGGGCTGTAGGCTGTGTCCCCCAGGAGGTCAGGGCTGTAGGCTGTGTCCCCCAGGAGGTCAGGGCTGTAGGCTGTGTGTCCCCCAGGAGGTCATGGCTGTGTGTGTCCCCCAGGAGGTCAGGGCTGTGTGTGTCCCCCAGGAGGTCCAGGGCTGTAGGCTGTGTGTCCCCCCAGGAGGTCAGGGCGTGTGTGTCCCAGGTCAGGGCTGTGTGTCCCCCAGGAGGTCAGGGCTGTGTGTGTGTGTCCAGGGGCTGTGGGCTGTCCCCAGGAGGTCATGGCTGTGTGTGTCCCCCAGGAGGTCAGGGCTGGGCTGTGTCCCCCAGGAGGTCAGGCTGTGTGTGTCCCCAGGAGGTCAGGGGCTGTGGGCTGTGCAGGAGGTGTGTCCCCCAGGAGGTCAGGGCTGTAGGCTGTGTGTCCCCCAGGAGGTCAGGGCTGTGTGTGTCCCCCAGGAGGTCAGGGCTGTAGGCTGTGTCCCCCCTAGGAGGTCAGGGCTGTAAGGTATGTATGTGTACCTCACTAGGAGGACCCTATGATGTGTAGCAACATAAAACTCTCCAGCAGTAGGTACAGAAGCATGTTAAAGCAGAAGAGGTTGTAGCAGGAAAAAAATAAGAGGAAGTTTTTGATAAAGAAACAGAGTCAAAGAAAACTGTGTGAGGAAATGTCTCAAAAATCAAGGAGTATTAGAGAGGCCTTCCAGCAACAAAAACAAGTGTTTACTCTCCCTGATAAAACTAACTGATGCAATTAAAACTAATAATAAAACCAAACCAAATAAGTTAATATAACACGGGAAAGAAAACTAAATATTTTGTTTGTATAGATCATGAGACTTGCTTATGTTTTGTGATTTAGTACTACACAAACTATTGAAACCCCAGTTGCTGGTGCATTAGAGATTAATCCCTTTGGTGAGTGTTCAATTTTGAATTCTCAGACAATACATATCAAAAAAAATCTTACCTTTTAGTTTATTTTCTCTCAATAATGTTGCACAATTAAAAATATTTAACAAATTCAAGTTTACTAACAACAAAAATTAGTAAAGGAATTATTAAGTGCATGAAAAGTATTGTTGCAATAAACATACAGGTTTGACTTGGGCTGCTGTGTGTTTTAACTATTAGGTACTGACCAAATGAGTAACAGTGTAAGATATTAAATTCAATAGGGTAAAAAACTTCCCAGGTGGGTGTTTCCCTGGATCCCCCAGCTCGGAAAAAACCTGACTACTGTGTTTATATAAAATGTCTGAATATGTAAATAAAGTGTATTCCTCAAATGTATTTCAAAATGGAGTAAAAATTAATTGTATTACAGAACAAATGTCCCCGGCTGATATCCTCCAGTTGGCTATTTCCTGTTCCTTCCAAAAACCTTTGTTGGAGGAATATTTCCTCTAAACTTACGTCAAACTTGGAGGAAAATCATCCCTAGTTTGTGGGTAACGAGTAGAGTACAGTAGATGCAGAGGGTATAATCTCTTCCTTGGACGTCAGTTGTACCTTTACCTCTTGGACAAATGAGTTTTACAAATATAGAACAACTTTGAAGCTTCACCTTAGGGTAATGTTGAGTAATAAAATAACCAACACTGCCTTTGGCCATGGAGGCTGCAGGCTGACATCATGTACACTGCCTTTGGCCATGGAGGCTGTAGGCTGACATGATGTACACTGCCTTTGGCCATGGAGGCTGCAGGCTGACATGATGTACACTGCCTTTGGCCATGGAGGCTGTAGGCTGACATGATGTACACTGCCTTTGGCCATGGAGGCTGCAGGCTGACATGATGTACACTGCCTTTGGCCATGGAGGCTGCAGGCTGACATGATGTACACTGGCCGGCTCTGGTGCATTGGGAGTGTGTATGACTGTCCTCAGTACAGAACTGTAGTAGATTTTAAACCAAAATATAAAATGTAAACTTTTATAGATAGATACAGTACAGTACTACAGTAAACAATATAAAATGTAAACTTTTATAGATAGATACAGTACAGTACTACAGTAAACAATATAAAATGTGTACTTTTATAGATAGATACAGTACAGTACTACAGTAAACAATATAAAATGTATACTTTTATAGATAGATACAGTACAGTACTACAGTAAACAATATAAAATGTGTACTTTTATAGATAGATACAGTACAGTACTACAGTAAACAATATAAAATGTAAACTTTTATAGATAGATACAGTACAGTACTACAGTAAACAATATAAAATGTATACTTTTATAGATAGATACAGTACAATTGCCTGATAAAACAATATAAAATGTATACTTTTATGAATGAATGCAGTACAGTACTACGGTGAACAATATAAAATAATACTTTTATAGATAGAATGCAGTACAGTGCCGTGAAACAATATAAAATTAAGCTTTTATAGATGAATGCAATTACAGTACTACAGTAAACAATATAAAATGTAAACTTTTATAGATAGATACAGTACAGTAATACAGTAAACAATATAAAATGTAAACTTTTATAGATAGATACAGTACAGTACTACAGTAAACAATATAAAATGTAAACTTTTATAGATAGATACAGTACAGTACTACAGTAAACAATATAAAATGTAAACTTTTATAGATAGATACAGTACAGTACTACAGTAAACAATATAAAATGTATACTTTTATAGATAGATACAGTACAGTACTACAGTAAATAATAAAATGTATACTTTAGTAGATGAATTACAGTACCAGTACTACCAGTGAGACAATATAAAATGTAAACTTTTATAGATAGATACAGTACAGTACTACAGTAAACAATATAAAATGTAAACTTTTATAGATAGATACAGTACAGTACTACAGTAAACAATATAAAATGTATACTTTTATAGATAGATACAGTACAGTACTACAGTAAACAATATAAAATGTAAACTTTTATAGATAGATACAGTACAGTACTACAGTAAACAATATAAAATGTATACTTTTATAGATGAATGCAATTGCAATTATACAGTAAACAATATAAATGTAAACTTTATGAATGAATACAGTACAATTACTACAGTAAATAATATAAAATGTAAACTTTTATAGATAGATACAGTACAATTACTGGTAAACAATATAAAATGTATACTTTTATAGATAGATGCAATTGCAGTACTACAGTGAACAATATAAAATGTATACTTTATGAATGAATACAGTACAGTACTACAGTAAAACAATATAAAATGTAAACTTTATAGATAGATACAGTACCCAGTACTACAGTAAACAATATAAAATGTATACTTTTATAGATAGATACAGTACAGTACTACAGTAAACAATATAAAATGTAAACTTTTATAGATAGATACAGTATAGTACTACAGTAAACAATATAAAATGTAAACTTTTATAGATAGATACAGTACAGTAATACAGTAAACAATATAAAATGTAAACTTTTATAGATAGATACAGTACAGTACTACAGTAAACAATATAAAATGTAAACTTTTATAGATAGATACAGTACAGTACTACAGTAAACAATATAAAATGTAAACTTTTATAGATAGATACAGTACAGTACTACAGTAAACAATATAAAATGTATACTTTTATAGATAGATACAGTACAGTACTACAGTAAACAATATAAAATGTAAACTTTTATAGATAGATACAGTATAGTACTACAGTAAACAATATAAATATACTTTTATAGATAGATACAATGCAATGCTACAGTAAACAATATAAAATGTAAACTTTATAGATGAATACAGTACAATTACTACAGTAAAACAATATAATGTATGCTTTTATGAATAGATACAGTACAGTACTACTGATAAACTAATATAAAATATACTTTTATAGATAGATACAGTACAGTACTACAGTAAATAATATAAAATGTAAACTTTTATAGATAGATACAGTACAGTACTACAGTAAACAATATAAAATGTAAACTTTTATAGATAGATACAGTACAGTACTACATAAACAATATAAAATGTAAACTTTTATAGATAGATACAGTACAGTACTACAGTAAACAATATAAAATGTATACTTTTATAGATAGATACAGTATAGTACTACAGTAAACAATATAAAATGTATACTTTTATAGATAGATACAGTACAGTACTACAGTAAACAATATAAAATGTAAACTTTTATAGATAGATACAGTACAGTACTACAGTGAACAATATAAAATGTATACTTTTATAGATAGATACAGTACAGTACTACAGTAAACAATATAAAATGTATACTTTTATAGATAGATACAGTACTACAGTAAACAATATAAAATGTAAACTTTTATAGATAGATACAGTACAGTACTACAGTAAACAATATAAAATGTATACTTTTATAGATAGATACAGTACAATACTACAGTAAACAATATAAAATGTGTACTTTTATAGATAGATACAGTACAGTACTACAGTAAACAATATAAAATGTATACTTTTATAGATAGATACAGTACAGTACTACAGTAAATAATATAAAATGTAAACTTTTATAGATAGATACAGTACAGTACTACAGTAAACAATATAAAATGTAAACTTTTATAGATAGATACAGTACAGTACTACATAAACAATATAAAATGTAAACTTTTATAGATAGATACAGTACAGTACTACAGTAAACAATATAAAATGTATACTTTTATAGATAGATACAGTACAGTACTACAGTAAACAATATAAAATGTATACTTTTATAGATAGATACAGTACAGTACTACAGTAAACAATATAAAATGTAAACTTTTATAGATAGATACAGTACAGTACTACAGTAAACAATATAAAATGTATACTTTTATAGATAGATACAGTACAGTACTACAGTAAACAATATAAAATGTTACTTTTATAGATAGATACAGTACAGTACTACAGTAAACAATATAAAATGTATATAAAATGTAGTACTACAGTACAGATACAGTACAGTACTACAGTAAACAATATAAAATGTAAACTTTTATAGATAGATACAGTACAGTACTACAGTAAACAATATAAAATGTAAACTTTTATAGATAGATACAGTACAGTACTACAGTAAACAATATAAAATGTGTACTTTTATAGATAGATACAGTACAGTACTACAGTAAACAATATAAAATGTATACTTTTATAGATAGATACAGTACAGTACTACAGTAAACAATATAAAATGTAAACTTTTATAGATAGATACAGTACAGTACTACAGTAAACAATATAAAATGTAAACTTTTATAGATAGATACAGTACAGTACTACAGTAAACAATATAAAATGTAAACTTTTATAGATAGATACAGTACAGTACTACAGTAAACAATATAAAATGTAAACTTTTTATAGATAGATACAGTACAGTACTGATAAAGCAATATAAAATGTAAACTTTTTATAGATAGACAGTACAGTACTACAGTAAACAATATAAAATGTATACTTTTATAGATAGATACAGTACAGTACTACAGTAAACAATATAAAATGTAAACTTTTATAGATAGATACAGTACAGTACACAGTAAACAATATATAATGTAAACTTTTATAGATAGATACAGTACAGTAATACAGTAAACAATATAAAATGTAAACTTTTATATAGATGTACAGTACTACAGTAAACAATATAAAATGTAAACTTTATAGATAGATACAGTACAGTACTACAGTAAACAATATAAAATGTAAACTTTTATAGATAGATACAGTACAGTACTACAGTAAACAATATAAAATGTAAACTTTTATAGATAGATACAGTACAGTACTACAGTAAACAATATAAAATGTATACTTTTATAGATAGATACAGTACAGTACTACAGTAAACAATATAAAATGTAAACTTTTATAGATAGATACAGTACTACAGTACTACAGTAAACAATATAAAATGTAAACTTTTATAGATAGATACAGTACAGTACTACAGTAAACAATATAAAATGTAAACTTTTATAGATAGAGTACAGTACTACAGTAAACAATATAAAATGTATACTTTTATAGATAGATACAGTACAGTACTACAGTAAACAATATAAAATGTATACTTTTATAGATAGATACAGTACAGTACTACAGTAAACAATATAAAATGTATACTTTTATAGATAGATACAGTACAGTACTACAGTAAACAATATAAAATGTATACTTTTATAGATAGATACAGTACAGTACTACAGTAAACAATATAAAATGTATACTTTTATAGATAGATACAGTACAGTACTACAGTAAACAATATAAAATGTGTACTTTTATAGATAGATACAGTACAGTACTACAGTAAACAATATAAATTGTATACTTTTATAGATAGATACAGTACAGTACTACAGTAAACAATATATAATGTATACTTTTATAGATAGATACAGTACAGTACTACAGTAAACAATATACAATTATATACAGTACAGAAGCAGCCAACATACTGTATAGAGTAAAGCTGCACCACCCACAGGCTTGTTTCATCATCTGTGGACCATTGTTAACAGTACCGCACACACACTGTATGATGCTGCACCACCCACAGGCTTGTTTCATCATCTGTGGACCAATGTTTACAGTACCTCACACACTGTATGATGCTGCACCACCCACAGGCTTGTTTCATCATCTGTGGACCATTGTTAACAGTACCTCACACACTGTATGATGCTGCACCACCCACAGGCTTGTTTCATCATCTGTGGACCATTGTTTACAGTACCTCACACACTGTATGATGCTGCACCACCCACAGGCTTGTTTCATCATCTGTGGACCATTGTTTACAGTACCTCACACACTGTATGATGCTGCACCACCACAGGCTTGTTTCATCATCTGTGGACCATTGTTTACACCTCACACACTGTATGATGCTGCACCACCCACAGGCTTGTTTCATCATCTGTGGACCATTGTTTACAGTACCTCACACACTGTATGATGCTGCACCACCCACAGGCTTCATCATCTGTGGACCCATCTATTACCTCACACTGATGCTGCACCACCCACAGGCTTGTTTCATCATCCCATTGTTTACAGTACCTCGCTCATTATTACCTCACACACTGTATGATGTGGCACCATCCTGTTACAAACGTAATAAATAAAGTACTGATAAATCCCAGTGCTCTTTTAACCTTGTTTATTATAATATAGGAAATAACTGTCAACAAGTTGCCACTTTACATGAGTGATGTTCCTCGTAAATGTGACCTGTTCCCAGGGCAAATTTGGGAGACAACCTAACTTATATAAGTATTAAGAGAATAATCACACACTCTCATACAGAGTATTCCAAGAGTTCACAACTCTCACACCAGAAAAGTTTGCCCAGAGTATTCCAAGAGTTCACAACTCTCACGCCGGAAAAGTTTGCCCTCACAGTTTTCTGGACTTGTGGCTTCTTCAAGGTTGAGCTGTGACCCCTTGTGGGGCAGACGTCCGCCAGCTCCAGGTATGTACACTCAACCCAGTAGTGTGCCCTATACTCTTTGATTAGGTCGCCCGTGTGTAGTATAAGCTGGGTAGTTGCAGGCGCTCCAATCTCTCTGGGTAACTGAGGTTCTGTAGAGCAGGCACCAATCTGGTGGTCCTCCTTTAGACGTTTTCAATCAACCGACAGTCTCTAGTATAACCTCGGGGACCAGAAAAATAAACACATAAGTTGAGGTTTGGGAGGGAGATAGGAAGGAACTGGTGGTGGACGAGTGGAACAAGCTTACCAAATTTGTAGTAAGTGCTGGAATGCTGGAAAGTTTTAAAAGGAGGCTAGATAGATTCATGGATGATAGAGAGTGGTAGTAACTCTCGACAGGAGCTGCCATGCACAGACCAACCGGCCTATTGCAGACTCCTTAGTTTCTTATATAACTCCTTAACAAACCCAACTTGTGCAACTGAAACAGATTCATTGGTGCTGCTGCATCAAACACTCGGCTGATGGCAACATAATATTGATTATAATGAACAATAGTCACACCAGTGCTGACAAATTAAGTAATTCAGTGATGTACAGTAAAGTTCTTTATGATGGTAAGTCAGTGGGTGGAAGAAATGGGTTGTAATGGTCGGTGTTCCAGTTGATAGTAAAAACCTCCTCTATTATTGTTTATTTTATATAATGGCATAATTTGTGCATTAAGGAAATATTTATTGTGTTAGAACTTTTGTCTTAGGAGCTCTGAAGGGGATCAGCATTGTGGGCAGTTTGGTGAGGTTAGGTTCTTATATATTTAGATTTGCTTTATTCAAAACTGACCTTTTTTTAGTTTAACAAATTTATTGGCAGGGCTTGTAGTACAGTTTGCCTATTCTGAGTAATTCAGTCAGGTCTTGACACTGAGGGTGGTATCACTTCTCACTGTCACGCAGGACAGAGGTTCACACACAAAGAAATACATCATATTCATTAACAACTATAAATGTATATAGGTCAGGTTCATATGGATAATGTCACTGTTCACTGCCATGCAGGACAGAGGTTCGTACACAAAGAGTTGCATCATATTCATTGACAGTACATATACATATATGTAAACACACACACACACACACACACACATATACATACATATCCGTATATACATACACATATACATGTACACGTACATATACATGCACACACGCACACATACATACATATACGTCGGTCAGATTCATGTGGGTAATGTCACTTTTCACTGCCATACAGGACAGAGGTTCGTACACAAAGAATGCATCATATTCATTGACACTATATATAGGTCAGATTCATGTGGGTAATGCCACTGTTCACTGCCACGCAGGACAGAGGTTCATACACAAAGAAGGAAATACATCACATTCACCAGCAGCATATATAGGTCAGTGGATCACATACATTGGAGTCATATTCTAATTGAAGACTAATCAGTATGGGCTAGCAAATTTGGGATAAACAGCAAGAATGACCTTAATTTATTGTACAAACGGGTGAATCTTTTAGAGAAAAAAAAATATATTTTTTTACAAAATTCGCCCATTTGCCCCAAAAAATGAGGGTCAGATATGAGTAAAATAAATCTAAATACATACACACAAAAAACTATGGTTCCAAAAGTATTGATAATGTGATTATCGTCAAGAAAATAATTAAGTTGTCATTATTTTTCTCGGTTCATTTAGTGAGGAGTATCCTGCGGCCCTTGAGGGAGGCCTTATATAAAACTATGAAGACATTAGTGGTGAAGAACACACAGACAACATTTACGCAATTAAAGGTAATTAATAATATTATATAGTAATTTTATAATTTTTAGAGTATTTAATTATCAAATGTAAGGTAAAAGTGTTGCATTGTGTTGGCCGTGAGAGGGAGCGTGAGCCTGGGCCGCCATGTCAACACAGCAGCTTCGTCTGGTGAAGTAAATTGGTTTGTGTTGGTGTAATATTGTGTTGTGAGGATTGATTAATGTGAAGGAGATGTGTGCAGGGATTATGGTGGCAGGGAGAGACCCTTAGGGCAAGGGCTCTCCTGGCACAGGTTAGAGTTTACCCTCAATTATATAATGTATAATAATTATTATATTTACGTCTGATTTTGCTGTATAAATGTGTTTCAATTATTAACTAACATATAATAAAATAAACTGTGGCCACAGAAAATACTTTAAACTATTGTAACAAAATCGACCAAGTTGAGATGTAAAATTACTGATAAAAGGAAGATAAAAGTTGATTAAATTCTAAATCCATTTGTTAATACTACACCTGAAGGTATAGACTGACCTAACACAGTGAGTGTAATGCATCCTGTCATAGTTAAACCAACCCTTTGGTGGCCACCACTGAACCACACAGTATCACTTGTTACCATTTGGAACTTTAATTGATGGCTCTAAAATGTGATATACAGTCAATTTTATTGTTTACATTTTTTGGTACAAATTAATAATTAAAAAGTTTTGATTTGGGGGAAAAATTGGACATTGTCAATAACCTTATGGGAAAACTATGTACAGTGTAGGTAATTAATTTGTATTATTATAGTATTAGTATTGATTATATAATTAATTTAGGGAAACCTAACCTAACCTACTTCAACTTAACCTAACCATGCACTATACCGAGATCTGATTGGTTAACACAAAAATTAATAAAATGCAAACTATCTTTCTTATACAGTACTTAATTTGTGACATAAATGCCATAGAAGAAAAGTGTTTTAGAATGGTCAAAACTACTGATTACAACCATAAAATGGTTAACAATCTTTGGGTGGCCACAAATGTCTTAATATTATATTAATTAATAAAATTGATACAAGTTTTTATTTTAATTATAAATACTGTACCAGTATTTTTTGTTCTTCTCTAACTCTGAACATAAATCACCTGTAGTGGACAGGGCATGAGGCAAATTATGTGGTAAAACACGGTCAAGAACTGATCGCGCGACACTAAACTGACGTCTCTACGTGTTCTGTACGCCAAAAAATTAACCGTTTACCGTAGACCATCTGCCAAAAGACACGACGTGGCAGCCAGTGTTGTCGTGCGCTCTTAAGTCAATAAACACTGAATCCTGTCTTACTTAACTTGTCAATAAATGACAGAGCCTCATATTGGGGGTTTTATTGCCATAAATATTGTCTTTTTTCTTATAGGCTTTACTATCCAGATTCCTGAGTCTATTATCTGCACAAATACCTTATTTATTTTGACATTTGGCTCAATAGGTTCTTAAACCTATTCTATACACAGTATAAATAATGAGAATCATATTGTTAGAATCAAATCCCATAATACTGTTTGAGTTTTGATACATTTACAATTATTTTGAGTAGTATTGGTTAATGAGTGAACCTTACTGTATGTTCTTATACTTGACTCCCTAGTTATGACGGCTTGTGGGAGTTGCCTGTTTATCAAATAGTAAATTATCTGCAAGACCCATCGTCACATTGATAGCCTGACCTGGGGGACAAGATTGTTTATTAATGGCTCTACCATATATGACATTATTACTTGTAATGAAACCATTTGGAAATATAACCAATTATACAAGAGAACTTTATTTATGACAACTAATAAATCAACATTTTATGAATTATTATAGTAGTAATGATAATATAAGATAGGAAAGAATTATATAAAGTAAAGTACTGTATTGTACTGTACGCCAACCAACAACTGAAAGAAAAGTATTTGTTCTCAAATAAGACAATAATGATAATGTTTTATAGTAACATGGAGAGAAAATACTACTGTACAGTACTGTACTCTACTGCCTTGTGACTCAATACAATAAAATTTGCCTTCTTTTTTAGAGCCAAAGTGTGAAGAATTTGTTCAAGCAAGACCAGGTTACTTTTTCTACGAGGAGTCGTTGAACGCCTGTATGGTGTAAGCAGGTGGCAGTTGAGAAGGAGTGTTCACATATTGCAGTGCTTGTACCAAATATCAGGGCAGCTGCATAAAGCTTGTGTATATGAGGCAGTCCATTTGAGAAACGACACGCGACATTCACTTACCGGAAGAGACGACTCGGTGTGGACACCTACGAGTTTAGCTGATGGGGCAAGATTTTCACCAAGTAATACACAATCCCTGGATTCTGGCCAAGGACTATAAATTACTGTAAGTAGTCTAATATTATGCTCACCAAACCCATCATTGAGTTGACCAAGGCAGTTATGTAAAATATTGTAGTACAGTTGATGATGTAAAGCAGCTTCACTATCATGACCATAAGAATGTCTTACAGTTGTTTTAGTCACTGCTAAGTATTGTGTTTATGCCTACAGACCCGAAGGCATTCCCGGTGGATCAGTTTCCAATGTGGATCAATGGAACAATTCATCGGCAGGGGAACACGCCCTACAGCAGTTCCCACGAACACAAAAACATTTTCACCGTCAATAACTGTCGGTTATGACCACGAACACACCAAGACTGGAGTACAACAAACAGTGTTGTAGAGAAGAAACAACATCAAGAGCCTCTACAAGCAGATGGCGCCTCAGAGTGAGGATTTACTCTGTAGTGTTCCTTCACTTTGATGGACACAAACTGGGTCATGATAAAGAAGGAGGCGACTTAGTTACCAGCTGGTCATGTGAGAGGGTTATGCCTCCCAGCTGGGTGCCTCTGACACAGTCATATAGGGTCAAGTCTTGTTACTGG